CCCCGATTGACGTTGAAGGTATTGCGCATATATTTTTCAGTTGATTGGTCATTGATAATCTGAAGAAGCGACAATGATTCTTCCCCGAGCCTCGGCGGCCCTTTCCTCGCGGCTGTTTTCGACTGCTGCCCGGCATAATGCATTGACTTCGCGTTTCTTTCATTATTCACCCTTGAAGGCTGCCGTTGCCCATCCAATTACTGCTCATGGACCACCGCCCAAAGCTCCTGCACCGACACCAGAGTTTGGTGGGCGCGCGGAGGAGCAGCCAGCTAAAGACACGGAACCCGGAAGTGAGGCACCAAAGCGGCCATCGAAGCCTTCTGTGGCATTGAAAAAGAGGTTCTGGAAGAATGTGGATGTGACAAGGAAACCAGGTATTTTGAGCTTGCCCGTCCCCTCCGTCTTTGATGATGGTTTTCCCCAGTTTCCTGTTCGTAAATGGCATTGACGAATTTCTTGGTTATGTATAGAGGGAGAGTACCAGGTCATGCTAGACAGCCGACCAGTACGAACGCCCACGAAGGATGTCCTTTTCATTCCCTCGACCAAACCTCATCTTGCACATGCGATCGCCCTGGAGTGGGACGTGATGACCTCCGCCCAGCAAGCTTTAAAGACTCACCTAATCCCGTTAACTTCTATTACTGCGCGAGCCGCGGATGTTGTTCGAGAAGATGCCGAGGGGGAGACTACTACCAGGAACCAAATTATAACCACTGCCATGCGCTATTTGGAAACCGATACACTACTCTGCTGGGTTCCCGAGAAGGATACCTACACCCCCGAGGAGACGAATGAAAATGGTGAAAATGCGGAAAGTCTTCGAGACGCGCAGATGAGAGTGGCCAGAGACATCATGGCATTTCTGAGCACCAAAGTTTGGCCTGGTGTGGAGATCAAGCCCATCCTAGATGAAAATAGCATTATGCCCGTCTCCCAACCACAAGCCACAAAGGATATCATCAAGAGCTGGGTCTCCGGACTGGAAGCCTATGATATTGCTGCTCTAGAAAGGGGTATTCTAGCTTCAAAGAGCTTGTTGGTCGCTGTTCGACTGGTTGCGGAATGGAGTGAGAACTTTCGTCATCTCCAACGGCCCGAACAAAGGAAGTTTGGAATCGAAGAGGCGGCAGAGGCTTCTAGCCTTGAAGTAACATGGCAGACCGACATGTGGGGTGAGGTTGAAGATACTCACGATGTCGACAAGGAGGACTTGAAGCGACAACTCGGAAGTGTTGTCGTCCTGGTAAGTGGTGAGAAGAGGTGAAATACTCTTGTTGAACAAATTGTATACTAGCTTCAATGGTGTAGTCACTGCTTTTGACTGTTCCATGGGTTGTACTATACATTCATAGCCTTCATTATATTACAAAAGAAACCACTTGTTGATCGAGGGATAGTTGAAGCCATCTGAGATCAACCTGATTTTTTTTTTTTCATCTAGGATCAATAAACTCATGTATGTATGTGTTGCTGTATGTGCTTTAGGTTTCACTGTTCTATTCTATTGGTAAAAAGTAATCGGCGATTATATAGATCATCATCAATATCCCGTGAAGCTGCCAAGGCGCGGGCGGCGTTTAAGAATATGATCAACAGCCCCCCCATTCTATTCTCCAAGTTGGTCGCAAAAGACAACTTTACTTCCTGTAACTTCATCTGAATCATTTAAATCACCCAATTCTCGCCTGCTTGCCGTTAGCTGCCCCCTTACCTATGCATCTTTCGCGAAACTGCTATTGATCGATCTCCGAAGGGTTTCTGTGGTGAGTGAGGGATGTCGGAAGGGTGAGTTCATCTGCCTTGGAACACAGCTTTTGGTTCCATGGATCTCGGTGTCAACGTGGGTGATACATCTACTGGAGTCCATCGCAACCAAGTTTGGGCCTCCAGGATACCTCGATAGGCGATACTGTGGTGGCTTTAAGAGAGTCAACTGGATGCTCTTTCCCCACCTTCTCTTTGCGGCTCCTTTGTGACACCTTGTATTTATTATCGACTGGAGGAATATTGTCGGCTTTGAAGCTTTGCTGATATGCCATTATCCCTTAGGCATAAACGTTCTAAGAGTGCCTTAGCGCTTGCGCTGCTACATCGTGATAAGTTGAGAAGTGAAAACAACGACGACGAAACCATCGGTCGCGATAGTCCTTTGCCCGAGTCCGTCACATCCACTCCGGCAAACAATCCCCCATTCCCCCCCACTATATCACATAGTCGAAGCTTCAGCCGGCGGAAGTCTCGCCAGGAGGCGAATTCTCCCCCCATGTCTTCCGAAGAACCTTTAGAGCCCGTTACCTCGAACCAGAGCATGGGGACTATTGAGAAGCTACCCTCAATCACAAATACGGAAAGTGGCAGCATTTCCCTCGAACAGTCCGTGCGAACGTTTCGCCTTTTTGAGGTCTTGCGGAGTGGGGATACGACTGCCATATCGAAAGCCATCAAGGAGTCCAACGATCCTCAAGGAGCGAACAGTCTGTGCGGAACTACAATCCTTCATCTGGCAATCCAATGTGCCGAGCCGCAGGTAGTTGAATTTGTCCTATCTGCGGGTGATGACCTTGATATCAATGCCCGCGATCGAGAGGGTAATACGCCCCTTCATCTTGCTGCCCAACTTGGGAGAGGTCCCCTTGTCCGCGAGCTTCTAAACCGGCCCACGGTCAACGACTCGCTCATCAATTATCGCAGCCAGTCGCCCCTCGAGATTGCACGTACACCGGAAATCTTCCAGCAGCTTCAACTCGCACGGTCTCTCTTTATCGACACCAAGACCCAAGAAATCCAATCGCTCGTATCCCAAGAGGGCTATGAAAAGCTGGAGAAGATTCTGGAAGAGCCGCGTGTCGAGGGGCTTATGGATGTGAACAGCCTGGATTTAGTTACTGACCAGGCCACTGTACAGTCTGGGGGCACCTTACTGCATGAAGGGGCAAGGAAAAAGGATGCCAAGCTTCTTCAAATTCTATTGATGCATGGAGCTGATCCCTTCCGCCGTGACAAAAAAGGCAAATTGCCACAAGATGTCACCAAGGATGACAAGATACGCGCTATTGTTAAGAAGTCGCCAGCTGCAGTCATTGCGCAACGCGGTATTCAAGAACGAGCCATCCTAGGGAACAGCACTGCCCAGGGAGTAGCTGGTCGGGTTTCCACCAGTGATGCTCCTCTTGCGGGCAAGGATGCTCGTGAAATGAGGGGCTATCTGAAGAAATGGACGAATTACACCACTGGCTATAAGCTACGGTGGTTTGTCCTCGAGGATGGCGTTTTGAGCTACTACAAGCACCAGGACGATGCGGGCTCAGCTTGCCGTGGTGCGATCAACATGAGAATTGCAAGACTTGACATGGATTCTCAGGATAAAACACGTTTTGAAATCCACGGCAAATCCTCGGTAAAGTACCACCTCAAGGCAAACCACGTTGTGGAAGCTAAACGTTGGTTCTGGACCTTAAACAATGCCATTCAATGGTCAAAGGATGAAGCGAAAGAGGAGGAAAAACTCCAATCGAGAAATGCGGAAATGCTTCGCCAGGCTAAACTTGATCAGAATGAGGGCCGAGCACCAGAAAATCCTTCTGAACCTGCAACCCATTCTGCCACAAAGTCGACTGGAAAAGGTCTAGCTCCACCACCTTTCAACAGTGGCACAAGACTTAGCACATATGCGTCTCGCACAACACTAGAAAGCTCTCCTGTGGGAGAAGATGAAGGTTCCACGTACGATTCCTACGCGCAAAGCATCCCTCTGAATGAGGTTAACAGAGTGGCTAGTCATGTTACCACGGCACCGGATGGTGAAGGAGATGAAGATGACTATGGCGATTATGCGTCCAGCCGTGAAATGCCACCTTCTGATAAGGATGCCCTCAACATCACCGCTCAATCTGCAAAATTGCAACTTGATCTTTTAGCCAATGTGGCAACTTCTCTTCAGGCTGAGAAATCCAAGGATCCCGCCACCTCGCTCTCAGACCCGACAGTAGACCAAGCTTTGACTGCCTACGAGGGCGCTGTGAGCAGCCTCAAAGGCCTTGTTCAAGACCTCCTCAAAATATCCCGAGACCGCGATACGTACTGGCAATATCGCTTGAACAGAGAAGGATATCTCCGTAAGATGTGGGAGGAGAGTATGGCACGGGTTGCGCAGGAGCATGAAGAACTGCAGTCCAAGATGGGAGAATCCGAGGAAAAACGAAAGCGTACCAAAAAGGCACTTAAAGAAGCGCTAGGAAACGCATCGGCAGCCCCCAGCCGCCCTGTCAGCGGTGAAATCTCTCGTGCCCAATTCGACGACCACAATGACGTCGAACTCGATGGCGAGAAGAAACAGGATCCTGAACCCGCTGAGGAAACACCGCAGCCTGAGGAGAAAGAAATGAGGCCGGCTTTAGGTCGTCAGAAATCAGCTCTCTCTCAGATTCCGGGTCTTGGTGAATCGGAATCAGATGACGAAGAGGAATTCTTTGACGCTATCGATTCTGGCGAGATTGAAGTTGAAGACTTGGTCAATCCTGACGCGAAAGACGAAAAAGAAGCGCCCCAAGAAGAAAAGTCTGAACTTCGAGCTGTGAAACGAATTCAAATCAATCCTTCGTTTAAGGGATACGAGGAGCCTATCAGAATGAGACTCAAGATGGATAATGACAATAGACCGAAGATCGGTTTATGGGTAAGTGCACCATTCAACCCTCGGTTCCTTTGGGCTTCAATCTTATAATTCATTAGGGCATTTTGAAATCCATGATCGGAAAGGATATGACAAAGATGACATTGCCTGTTTCTTTCAATGAGCCAACCTCATTACTTCAGCGAGTTGCGGAGGATTTGGAATATGCTGACCTCCTTGATATTGCGGCTGACCGACCTAATTCTATGGAACGTTTGGTGTATGTTGCCGCATACGCAGCAAGTGAGTACGCTTCGACAATTGGACGTGTAGCAAAGCCTTTCAACCCCCTCCTTGGAGAAACCTTTGAATACGTCAGGCCCGACAAGGGGTATCGATTCTTCATCGAACAGGTTAGCCATCACCCACCCGTTGGTGCCGCGTGGGCTGAATCTCCCAAATGGGATTACTATGTAAGAATCAAACCCCTATATATGGATGATGCTCGAATGGAACTAACTTTTACTTTCACAGGGAGAATCGGCTCTTAAGTCCAAATTCTATGGCAAATCTTTCGATATCAATCTGCTGGGAACCTGGTTCTTGAAGTTGCGCCCCACATCAGGAGGCGAAGAGCTTTATACTTGGAAGAAAGTCACATCCTCTGTCATCGGAATCATCACCGGCAATCCTACAGTCGACAACTACGGTTTGATGGAGATCAAGAACTGGACCACAGGCGAGATTTGTTATCTAGATTTTAAACCAAGAGGCTGGAAAGCCTCGTCTGCATACCAGGTGACGGGTAAGGCCGTTGACTGTGACGGGTCTCCCAAATGGAGCATGGGTGGTCGTTGGAACGACAAGATCTATGCCCGCCACACCCCCGGGTTCGAGGCGCAAGTATCTGGCCAGGACCCCGAATCGGCGAAGACCCTCTTGGTATGGCAGAGCCATGAGCGTCCTACCGGAGTACCTTTTAATTTGACACCTTTCGTTATCACACTGAATGCCCTCTCTGAAGGCCTGAAGGAGCATCTACCGCCAACTGACACCAGACTTCGGCCTGACCAACGTGCCATGGAAGATGGTGAGTATGATCTCGCTGCCGATGAGAAGCATCGGGTTGAAGAAAAGCAACGATCAAAGCGAAGAGAAAGGGAAGCCAATGGGGAGGAATATTGTCCCAAGTGGTTTACCAGGGAGACATGCCCCATTACCGGGGAAGAATATTGGGCTCATAATGGAAAATACTGGAAGTCTAGGGAGGCGCACGACTGGAGTGCTTGTGATGATATCTTTTAGAGGACATAGCATACGACATGACGATGTTCTATTGGTTAATTTTTGTTTTCACTTTCTGATGTAAAGCAAAGAAAGAAGACGCCACACATAGGCGGCTCTTGGATACACGACTTTGTTTTAACAACATTTCCTCCTTCAACTTTACACCTGATAGCTTTCTTGTAATTACTCATTCAATACAATGATAACCGCGTGTGTTATTAGTCAATTTATTCATATCATTCTGGTATTATCATTTTCATCCTAGTTGGTTTTTTCGACTCTATAAAGATCCCGGATCACGTGGCTCAGCGGGATAATCGACAGCTTCGAAAAATGACGCTTTTAACTCCGCAAGAACGAGCAAATGCCCTCCACCTTCCTCACCCACACGATGACGGGTGAATATACTTGTGGTCGCTGCCTTCAGGCACTCCGCCGAGGAGTCGCCGCAGTCCAGGGCTCTCCAATTCGGCTGCAGAGCCTTGCCAATTCGAATCGGAGATACACCACTTCTTTCGCCCGAAGATCTGGCTCGCGGAGCAACAACAATCGCATTCTGTCGAATAGCACCCGAGAGCAGATCAAACGAGTATCATCGCAATCACCCGTTGCCTCCCAGATAACACCTCATAATGCGAAGTCCATTGTACAGAGGGCCGCCTCCACTGCGTCAGGCCAGTCTTCCGAGTCCCGCACTCTTCTGAAGCCAAACAACCTCTTCCATGACTTCTCGAAATCGCCCTCTCCGGCAATTCGTCAGCGTGCAGCATTTATAAAGCAAAACGCGTTTTGTCCCCACCCAAGCCACCAACAAACTCGTGCTCCTGTCTCTCCCCACGACCCGGAATCGCGAAAGGGTCAGCATGGCTCGAGTCTTCCGCCAGCTCATTCGCACTTTGAATGCCCCGACTGTGGTGTTCCCATCTACTGCTCAGAGGGACATTGGATGGATGACTTCGAGGCCCATCTGGAGATTTGTGAAACTATCCGACAAATCAATGAAGATGACCACGATTTGCACTCCGGGCGGTTTTTCCCTGAGTTCTCCTACCCGGGTGTGCAAGATGAGAACTTTGTCATCAACATGACCAACTGGGATACTTTCCTGTACACGCGAGAATTCGACGCAATCAATGATGATCGAAGCATGCGACAAGTGACTAGGATGCTGACATACCCTCTTACCATCGGAAGTGTATTGCACGACCTGAGCCCATACAGCGTCCGGAAGGACAGCAGGCTCACAGCTGAGGGTCTCAAAAGTGTCAGCGGTGAGTCTACTCACAGCAGTTTGGAGGTGAAGATATCATGTGTGCTGACTATTACTATATAGCTCTCCGCTACAGTTTGCACCCCCCTAAGACAGGAGAAGGGGTCGATATCCAAGGACTGCGACTGAAGGCTCCCCCAGTTCGACTATTCATTCTCGGGGCGCGTGCTGAATCCTCTTTGCCTCGAGATGTCTGGCTACAGCTCAGCCACATCTTCCCACGCTCTCTCATTCATCTAATTTTCATTGGACCGGAGAGTATGGCCAACCGGGATGAAGAGTTTCCACTTCCCAAGCGGACTCCGGAAAATCCATTCGGAGGAATTGTCGAAGATCGTCTTGGTGGTCAACTGAAGATCACGACGTACGTCGATTACTTCCACACGATGTACAAGGCGCAGTACTTCCAGCCATTCGACCCCTACCTGGACTGCATTGTGCTCTTCCACCCTGGACTTGGGCACCCAGCCAGCTCCCACGAATGGGAGGAAACGCTACCACAGCTTCTCGAGACCAAAGTTCCTATCATCAGCACGGGCTACACGCAGTGGGATATGGAAAGAGATATCAACTGGGTTCACGAGAAATGCGGTGGAGAATTCGATGTTCTGTTGGAACCTGGCGAGAATATCTTCCGTAGTCTGCGCTGGGATCTCAACGATCTAGATCCACATGATGTTTCATGCGGAAACTGGGGTTTGTGGGCGTTCAGAGGAAAGAGGTATGTGATCAGCGTATTTAACGATCAATGATGATCACTTACTAACTTGAACGACCCTTCCAGATACGAGGCGACATTCAAAGACTCGTAGGACTCTCGTCTACATTACTTGTTTTGATCTGTACTGTACCATAGCTTTTTCTTTGTCTCTTTCTTGGGAAATAGTGGAGTATATGCGACTTTGACCTCCCCTCTTTCCCCTAAACCATATATACTACCTGCACTAGATACGGTTGGTTGTATACAATAAAATATCGAATATCTTTTGGAGTTGAAGATCGAGATAAAGGAGACCCTTAGAAACTCCCTAGTAGCACCCCTGATGATGAAACAAAACTAGGGCCAAAGCAAAGGAAGCTGGATGCATGCACTACAGTATGTGCCATGTGGTCGCATATGGCGGGTAAATCATTGCATTAGTGTCGCATATTGCAAATAGCTGCAGAATGCCATACAATAGTAACACCATCCTAGACATGGAATACTACCCTAAAGGTAAAAATATGTAGTACAGAATACTCGGAATACTTAGAAGGAAATAAATAAAGATTGTACAACTAGTTACCCAAATATGTATACAAAGGACATGAGGACATACATGCATGAGGTAGCTTCGTCAAAAGGTTCTAATTAACCCCTACACTCATTATTTCGGGCATGTATGTGTAAGGGGTGGGGGGAAACACATAAAAGGGTAGTAGAAGAATCGTAAAATGAAGAAAAGAGTAAATGTGAAGAGAAAAAGGGTATAAACATCAGAAGGGTAAATAAAGGGTAGTGTCAGTTAAAGACGAAATGCTGACAGATGGGCCAAGTAAAAGAAACCGAGATGACCTTGTAAATGATGAGGTATTAGATCGAATGATGGATGAGCCTTGTGTGCTGGTGGATTTTTATTCCTGGTCCATTGATCTGGTTTAGATTTAATTCCCCCGTCATCTTCAATCATCCATGCTCTGTTCTCATACATGACACCGAAAAACCAAAGAAATTTTCGGAGGCATATCATCGATCTGATTGATTAAAAAAAGGGTATCAGTGCTTTGACGCCCTCGAGGCGCGATTCTTCTTGTCCGCATGCTACATGCACGGCTGCGCAGTTGATTCATTTAAAGCATGACAAGACCGGCGACAGCCATGACACCAGCGGCCATCGCGCCAGAGTACTGAACAGCCGGGGCAGCACCGACAAGAGCAGAAGAGGACGCAGCAGCAGCGGTGGTCTCAGAAGGGCCCTTGGCAACGGCCGGGGTGGTGACCTTGGAGAAGGAGGAGCTGGTAGCGTTCCAGCGGCCAGGCCCGGGGATACGGAGGCCACCAGAGGGAGAGGCGACAGGCGTGCTGCTGTAGATAGGAATCGAGGATGGAGATGGAGTCGCGAAGGAGGAAGAGTGAGCGTTGACAATCTGGAGCGTAATGGTGCTGGTGGTTGGCGCAGCGGCCTCCTGGGCGGCGAGCGCCAATGGCCCGAAGGCGGCAGAGATCACCAAAAGAGCCTTGCTGAACTGCATTGTGATTGTAGATGAAGGATCGGATATAGGTGTTGATGTAGATATGGGTATATGGAGTTCAATGAAATTGATATTGATCTGCTTGATCTGCGTTGTTGCGACGTGGATGTGGAGGGAGCTGTATGATTGGATATCTCAGATATTGATTTTGTATGTATATATATTTTTTTGATATCAAGAAATTAACGTGGAGTAAGACAAAATAAAGAGTGAATGGAGCTGGAAACGAGTGACAGCTCTTGTGGAAGTGAAAGAACGAATAATCAGCACTGCTTTGAAGATATCAAAGTAAGAAAAGAAAGAAGAGAAAGAGGACGAGGGGAAAACTGGGTAAAAATTAGCAGGAAAAAAGAATCACCAAAAAATAGGGGCCAAAACAACGCCGCCCCAAATGGGCAACGTAGTAGAAGAAAAAAAAGCCTTAAGACTTGGCGAGCTGGCAGTGTGAAAATGAGCCTGAGCCAGAGGAAATTAGAGCCTCGGAGAACCCAATAAATTTGCAATAAACGCACGAAGCTAGTCGTGCCCATCAAACTCAGCGCCAGGAATCCAATCTATTCTGCCCACTACCGGCGAGAAATGGAGGGAAACTCTGATTGCATCCTGTCGATCTTCTCATTCTGATCCAAGTTGTTAGAGGTTTTGCGAAGCGTTCCTGGCTAAGACGTAAAGGTTAGTCTTGGAACCATGGAAACTGGAAAGGCCCGTCGTGCAGTTCGAGCTGGTCTCCATCGAGCTAGAAGGTTGATTTGTTAATTCAGGGGGTCATCGGAGTGGGATCCGAGTGCTATGTGTGTAGATATCACGCACATCTGCAGGTGAAAACCTACTGGCCATATGTAACTTATTCCCCACGGTTAGCACATGCTTTGAATGAGTTCCCAGGCACATTGGGCTTTTGGTATGAAACACTGGAGAACTCCAAAGACAGTGTGACACCAGGTGTTACGGACTGCAGTCTCAGTCTCAGACGCAGACTCAAAAGTATTTAGAGTTGTGCAGACTTGAATCCTTAGCGGCATTTCATTCAGGGAAGAAAGCCGATGCACCAAAGTGGAGATGAATCTGTGAAGACTGAAAGTCGGAGGGGATTGGAGTATGCGAGTGGGGAGAAGCGAGGGAGCAATTTCGCTGCGGCCGAGTCACGAGACGACCCCGAGATGCCTGCGAGTGTGAGCAGAGTTGGGATAACACAGCATGAAGGCATCAAGCCAATTGATGGTATACCCATCACGAGAATTCCTCACAGATGATCCTGCTGCACTGCCTGAAGGACCATCAATCTGACAGAATGTGCCTGCATATCATAAAAGCGCTGGCTAAACTAGTGGATGATATCAAAAGTACTACTGATTAGTCGGACCACAACAAGGCCAGGGACACGTAATGGCAATAATAAATAATACTAGCATTAAAGTCCACCTCTAATATGGAGTATAATATTATACAGTCTCCCGTGGAGGTTCATATCTATAAGCAAAAGTGAACGACAAAAGAGAATGCCTCCCAACGCCGGATATCACAACTTCCCGTCGTTCAAACAAAATACCTCACCATAAAGCAAAGAGAGCATGGAGCTGACCCTACAGTCATCATATCCATCAATTCGTGCGAACCTTCGTCAAGACGATAAATAGCAAGCGCAAAAAGACGATGTCGATAACTTCTCTCTAGAAGACAAAAGTATCATCACAGAGCCCAAACCATGCTGCTGACTACAGCAACCATTATCCAGTATCCACTGACAGGGGCCATCTTTACTGATGGTGCCGATGAAGCCGAAGAATCCTCAACTGTTGTTCCATTTGGCAGGGTTCCGTTGATATAGATCTTCTCTGTTCCATTGTCGATTACAACCCTGGCGACGCTGGTGTTCCTGGGTTCAGTGCCATTGAACAAGGATTCGAAATAGGTGCTGTTGGAGTTGTTATCGCATCCGCACTCGGAATATTCCTGGCAGACACAGACCACCGGCAGCGATTCACTGTGGTTGTTGGTTTGGTTCACATAGTGATAGTTATGGTGGTATGGGTAAGCATAGGCCCCGTACAGCCAGACACCTGGAAGTAGGGCCAATCCAGCAGCTGGTAACAAATAAGGGGACACGCCCAGGGGGGATTTTGCGCCAGATCTATAAGGAGACGCCGCACCTCCGGCGTAATAAGACCCGCCCCCATAAGCAGGGCTTGGTCCGGAGCCACCGCGAGTTGAGCCTCCAACGTTGCTCGAGGAGCTATACAAATAAAAATTCGGAGTTAGCTAATCGCATTAGCAAGAAAAGTGTCGACAACCTACCCGGTTCTCCCGCTGCTACTGCTTCCAGTACGACCCCCAGTACTGCCACTTCCACTGCTGCTGCCTCCACTGCCAGTGCGACCACCGCTGCTACCGCCACTGCCTGAGCCGCCTTTACCTCCTCCACCTCCTCCACCTCTGCGCTTCTCTAGACCAGGTATCTCGAGAGCATCGGGGATCTGGGACACATCTCGAACCACTAGATCCGACTGCGGGACAGCGCGAGGTGTGACTGTAGTGGATAGGAGAAGAAGAGCAGCTGCGAATGTGATCTTCATTTTGTTGTGAAGAGGTATTTTGTACGGAGTAGTGATGTCTGTCTGAGCACCGAAGATGATGTCACGGTTTAAAGAAATATTAATAAAGTACTGCAGAAAAAGAGCAAGATTAGATGAAGATGAAAAACTGCGCTACCAAGGAAAACTGAAACTAGAAAGGTTCCCAAAAGAAGGCGCGGGCGAAGCTTGGGTTTATCAAAAGACCGGCTCCCTAGGCCGCTGTTTCATGGATCAGCAAAGAATGAATCCAAGGCAGGAAGAAACGGTGCAACTTGAATCAGTAAGGAGCGAGTCATGTTAGCAACATATGTAAGTATGTAACCATCGCCCATCAAAGACATTTATTATTCATTATTCTTCTGCTAGTTATCCGTTTCCGTCCAAGTCTTCGTTCATGGCTCCTCCGTGATGAGATCACACTTCTCACCGCGCCCGCCCCACGTGCTTTCAAAGGTCCAAGACCCCCAAGTCTGTCCAACATCTCTAAGACCATATTAGTGACAGCACAGCCCATCAAATTGATCAATAATTCTTCTTGCTTTGTTCTAGAAATGTGGCAAGAGGAGTCCGAACCGATTTTTTTTTCGCAAAACCACCAAGTGCGTGTCAAATACAAGCTACGATGCCAAAGGAAATGATTCGTTAAACAGTGCAGAACTCACCAACAACCCTGTCAGGAATGTCGCTCTGCCATCGAAATACTACCGCTATCAGCGATGATCCGTACTGCGATGATTATCATATGTTGTCAAATGGTCGAATCCTCGACTCCCACGCTACATCTTATCAGGTGGAGAAATGATGAGATCCACACTCAACAGCGCATTCTCGGAAAATAATTTCATTGACTATCCGTTACCGTCTCGCATACCAGTTTCCATAAGCAGTGATGGATTGCAATAAAGCCAAGCATATCTATGTGCATCGCCTCAGGACATGATCTTCTCATAACCGAGTCATAAGCCCTGCTAGGATATCACCTTCGGCATCGTTTCCCGACTTTCTCTTTTAGCCACTGCACTGGCTCAGCCTCGTGAAGAAAACGCTTTTGAGGATATATCGGATAATCGGATCGATCAGATTTGATAAAGGAATTCCAAGATCATTATTGCTGCTCCGCTTTCACAAGTGGTCGATAAACTGGTTCCCACATTTGCGCCCGAATCCACTTGTCTAGATCGGACTCATCTGTTGGAATTCCATCCTGCTGGGCGTGTCCTTCCTTGACCGCGCTCTGAATCACTGCCTTGGCAATATTTACACTGAGCTCACGCACATGCTCTACGCCCGGTAGAAGAGGCTGGGTGGGATCTTGGAGCGCAGGTGACCGAGCCGCTAGGGCTTTGACCGCTGCAACCAACATCTTGTTCGAGACGACTTTTGCTCGAGATAAGACGGCCCCCAGGCCAATACCAGGAAAGCAAGTTGAGTTATTGCATTCCGCTATATTAAAAGGGAGGCCACCAGAGTCAGTCCTCCATTCAGGGAAAAAAAAAAAAAAAAAAAAAAAGAGCGAAATTACTCACCAATTTCACACTCCATCCCATTGTGTTCTACCGGTGGGAACGGGCTCCCTGTGGCCACCAGGGCTCGACCTTCAGTCCAGTGATAGATATCGTCAGGATGAGCTTCATGCAGACGGGTGGGGTTGCTCAATGGAAACACAATTGGTCGCTGAACGTGTTTACCCATCTCACGAATGATGTCTTCGGTGAAGGCTTTTGGCTTCGTCGATGTCCCGATTAGAACATGCGGCTTCACCTTCTTGACAACAGAAAGCAAATCCCTTTCCTCGTCTTCTGGCCATTCCTTATCATCGCGTGCAAACTGAGCTTGGGCTACAGTTAGTTTATCGCTAAAAGACTTGACCAAAAGACCTGGTTTATCAAAGCACCTTGTTTCAAAGCAAGCTTAGTGAGTTACTTTCAAATAAATAATGAAAAGATAACATACCATATTTGCTTTGAAGCTTCTGATTTAGGTCTTTTGGCTTCCGCAACAATTGCGTCGGTGATTTGATCAGCAATACCAATACCAGCAGACCCAGAGCCAAAGATCACCACCCGTACATCTTCCAATTTGATATGGCTGACATGAAGGCCTGCTATCATCGCAGCCAAAGTCACACATCCCGTTCCTTGGATGTCATCGTTGAAACAGGGGATGTGTGATCGAAACTTGTCCAAAATCCTTTTTGCGTTCTGAGTTCCAAAGTCCTCGCTAAGTGTTTGTCAAGACCTGTATACGAATGCACATCTGGAAACCGAACTTACAAGTGGATATATGCTTTTGGAAACTTCTTCCTCGCAATCTTTACGAACTTGTCGACGAAATCGTCGTATGCTTTACCCTTGACTCGAGGTTTTCGAAGGCCAAGGTACAGTTCGTCATCGAGTAGGTCTTCATTCTGCGGTCGAGTTAGCCGAACCCGTCATAAGCCATTGGTTGCATCATGCCAGTACATTTGTACCACAATCCAGTACCACGGGAAGCTGTCTTGATGGTTGGATTCCAGCGCAAAGTGTGGTGATAACCAACTTGGCGACGGAAATCAAAATGGCGCCAATTCCCTGGTCCCCAATCCCCAGAATCTACATTGAGTATATCAGTGGGATACTTGCGTAGGACTTTGAGCACGACATGTTACCTCCTCTCCATCACTGACAACGATGTAGTCGACTTCCTCTCCACTGTTAAAATTAGAAAGATACTCTTCAATCTTATCTTGGTCCTGGATATTCAAAAAGCAACCCTCTGGTCTCCTGAATATTCGTGAGTAATTCTGGATGGCGTCACCTTCTGTCGGAGTATATATCACGCCGAACATCTCTTCCAGGTGTGTTTGCATCAACTATCATGGTCAGTTTGCATTTGAAAAAAGACATGAGAAGAGAAGGAAGACAACCTTATAATACAACACTTCATTCTGTGACTTCATGCTTGCCAAAAAGGTGTTCTTAGCCAGATCATCCTTTCGACTTTTGTACTGCTGGTACGCTCGTTGTACTTGTTCTTCCAAGGTCTGAACATTGGGGGGCAGCAGACCGTGCAACTTGAATTTCTTTCGTTCTTCGTCTGGATGCGCGGATCCTTTATTAAAACGGGAGGAATGGATCAAGTCCAGACCCTGATATTGTGATCAATATTAATCAATAAATAACTGGAACTAGCAGACTCACTTCGTAAGGACACTCTAAGGGCCCCGATGTCTGTCGAGGTAGGTTCTCGAGTTTTGACATCTCTCAACGAGGAGTATCGTTTGCGCTCTGTTCCTCTATGCTGGAGTACTCAATTAGAGATGAGTTGCAAAAAGGTTGTGATGAAGCTTTCGACGATTTTTGGTTTAAATCAGAAGCATCGAGCAGGATTCTGCGAAGGTTGACTGTCCTGTTCACCTGTGGGGAATGATGTATGCGATGGAAATGACGTAGGGCCATTCTAGTTTGGGTCAACAGTGATATCAATGCATCCATAATCCACGAAGAATCTTCTTTACAACGAGGTATATTACTTTTCATTCCGAAGAACCATGATGATATGGCGAATTATTCGGCGATATTGTTATTGCTTATGGACTATTGTTACATAGTACTATTGATGGTACTCTTCTAAAGTGACCACAAGACACATCCGTTTCTCAAATCTGATCAAGAATTATGAACAACGATAAAGTAGAGTTCCTAATTATCAATTCACAGCTCTTTCGCCTAAATATATCCTACTCGATCCCTTTGAATAACAACAGTCCTTGCAGTGTTGAGCGACATCGCATAATGACAGTCAGCATATAGTTATATAACACGTGACTATGATTACTCATCCGTAAGCGAGAAGCTGAAAACCACCGACTGTGTCTGACAATTTCTTCAAAAGATTCCAGAGATTTTTGAATATGACCGTTCCAACTCATGATTCAGCATCGCTACCTCGATGAATGGTGGTTTTGAATCGAATGCAGAGTTATCAATTGACGATTACATATATAAAGAATAGCGATCCACTGACACGATCACAATGCAACTCACCAATCCAGCTGTCCTAGTCTCACGACATCAACAACGGACCCTTCATTTTTTGAAGGACAGTCATCGCATGCCACGTCTTGTGGCTGTGGCTGATTGGAGCTGGATTGGATTATTGAACGGGAATTCGTTTCTCTTCGATTTATATCTTGAGATGTTGCTAGAGTAAATAACAGGGCCTTCATAGTTCATGTTTGCTTGCGTTTTTGACACTTCCTACGAGAGCATGACTCCTTGCGCACCTACATTCTACATTCGGTCAATGATAAATTAGATATTTGAATATGAATACTCTAGTCTACTCTGCACTATCACTGCAAGATTATAGCTTGCTCTTTCCAGCTTCATCATCGATGATCTTGACCACCACCTTGCCCCAGGTCTCTCTTCCTCCAAGCGCCTGCAACGCCTTGGGCACGCTCTCCAACCCAATGAAGCTCTCATCTCTAAATGCTGTCCCCTTGAACTTACCCTGGGCCACCATATCAAAGATGCCCTGCCACACGGTGCCAACCGTCTCCTCTTCAAACTTGGCATACTGACCCCAATGCAAGCCGACGATGCTGACATTCTTCAACAGCACCCGGTTCAGCGCGACCTTTTCAATCTTGCCCGCTGCAAACCCAATCACCAACAATCGCGCATTCCACGCCACACACTTGAGACTCGCCTCGATCATCCCAACGGAGTCATACACAATGTCCACGCCGGCCTTGCTATTCCCCGTCCGGTGCGTGGCACACAACCGCTTCACCTCCTCGGGCCAATTCTTCCCCCGGTAGTCAATGACATGGTCTGCTCCGAAGTCCCGCGCAACCTGTCTCTTCCTCTCCGTGCCTGCTGTCGCAATCACAGTCGCCCCCTTGGCCTTGGCAATCTGCACCGCGGCCAACCCCACCCCTCCAGCAGCCGCGTGCACAAGCACCCAGTCCCCGGGTTGCACATTGGCCCGGTGCACCAGACCCCCGTATGAAGTGGGCGCCGTCACGAACAACCCGGCCGCATCTTCAAAACTCCACCCGTGTGGGATAGGGAGAAGGGAGTTCTCCGGGGCCAGAATGTGAGTTGCATACGCGCCCTGCGTGGCACCAAAGACGCGATCACCGACTTTGAAGCGGAGACCTTGCTTGGCTGCGGTTGGGACGGCGAGAATGGTTCCTGCGAACTCGGCTCCTCCAACCCAAGGTAAGGGTGGTTGGTGTTGATATTTGCCTTGGATCTGAAGGAGGTCGAAGAAATTGGTGCCAGCCGAGTGAATTTCGATCAGGTATTTATCTGGCGAGGGAGAGGGAGTGGGAAGAGTGGTGACTTGGAGATCAAGGGGGCCCTATTCAATTACAATATTAGCTACTCGAATTGCATCTTGCGGTGTAGCAAATAAAAACCTTGATATATTGGCTAACTTGGACAGCTCTCATCTTCAAGATCGGAGTGGCAGATCAATAATATGGGCAACGTGATCAAATCAAATAAAGTAAGTGTAAACCGGTCAATCAAATTGTTATCGTCCGAGACAAACAAAAAGAAAGAAAGAAAGAAAGAAAGAAAGTTCAAATGATGAAATGATGGACATTGAACCCATCCAAGAAAACAGCTTTCCCCGCGTGCGTCCTGCATGCCATGTGCCGAGGTCGGTTGTCGGATAAGCCAACTTAGGCACCGCAGTCTAGTTAACCTTGGGATAGCGTCAACGGTTCATCCATGGATGGCAGCGCGGAGATCATTACTTTTTTGCCTCAGAAAGCTGCTGTGAGATGATTGGTCTCTGATGATGCTATCGATATGCTCGATCAGACAACAAAAGCTGTCCTGTCGGCAAGTGGCTGCTGCTCTCTTATCCGAACCGTATTTATCTACGCCTCGTGCCTTACCAGTTGCCACTGGGACTCCCACGGTTCATGCCAACGATATCCTTACTCAACCAAGGTTTTTTGTTGATAACCATCCATTCTCAGCTGTTTCTCCATCGGAGCTATGGATATAGATAGCAGGCAGCAAAGTATAGCATTTTGTATTCTCCAAATCGTAAAACTTTCCACTCCAACTCGACCATGACTCCAACAATAACAAATAAGTCTCATTCCGTGCATGTATCCATTGGTAATAGTAGTATTGAGCACTGTACACACCACAGCCGGAACTCCATACAGAGGGGAATATACACAACAATTTCAAAAATTCTCAAGTAACCCATCTCACACGCCAGAAAATCACACTATCCCACATCCAACTTGGTATCCGCCATTTGAAGCATGGTTTATTTCACACGAAAAATTATACATCACAATGCAACCAGCCCATTTTCTTTGTACAGTTGTAATAGTTCCAAGATATCACACCAAAAAATTTTCAAGACACGGCCGTCATGCATCATTCACACGGACCAGGACATTAAAAGAAAGGGAACATTAGACAAATGAAATAAGGTAAGAAAAAAAAAACACAGAATATATGTGGGAGGTATCATGGTAGAAAGGGACGACACAAAAAGAAAAAGTAATGATCAAAAAATAAGATACTGTCATCTAAAATCCGATGCCAGAGGGTTTATGAACAAGAGACTCTTGTCCAGGGTAGGGGTAGATTGGGGCACACATCACTGGATGTTGCCCGTGCAAGTAGTGTGGCTGCGAAGCCAGTGTCGGGACCTTGGCAGGTAACGAGGTCTTTCTTTCAATGTGTTTACTCTGTCGGTCCACTCCAGGGTGGCCGCCAGCGGCCTCCGGGCTGTAGTTGACGGACATGGTGCGCCTCCATGGTTTCGAATCCTCAAGATAGTCGGGCATGCTTTGCGGGATCATGCCGGTAAAATGCGGGGACTGGGGCGAGTAGATGCGGTCCGCACCATGCGAAGGCATTGATGCCATGCCATGATCCGGAGATGCAGCAACCGGCGGGCTCAAGGGTGCTGTGGTGTAGAAAGGTACCGAGTGGGACTGAGTCACGGCCTCCAAAGGCATCGAGTACCATTGAGAAACAGACCACGGAGCTGGGGGTGCGGCTGTGGTGGTAGGCGTGGAGGACTGAAGGCAGGAGTCGGGAGCAACAGAGTATGGGGGACTGGCATAGGAAGGCGCCATTGTAGATGCTGGGCTGATCAAGACACCATCGACTGGGGAAGACACATGCGAGGGATCATGGATGCCATTTGGAAATTGATGCACTACCGGAGGACTGTTGGAAAGGTGACGGTGGTGTCCCGATGGGCTCAGCGACTGTTGATGGATAACCGGAGGCACCCAAGCGCCAGAGACACTGGGCTCATCGAGAGATGCGGCAGTTGTGGGGTGGGCATATGTGCTGTTCATGAACCACTCGGGCTCTGTGGCAGAGAGGCCCTCTGCAGCCGGCTGTGTGGACGAAGGCAGTTGGGTAGATGGGGAACCAGTCGAGCGGCGTGCCTTGGGAGAGGCATCCTCTTGGCCACTCTCGTCACCGGCGGCATCCTGCTGGCTATCATGGGACTTCTTTCTGGTCTGGCGGGATGGCTTGGTAACGCGCCACTTCTTCAATCTGCTGCGCAACTGAGTTTCACTGGGCAAGTCAGTATTAGATCAGTGGGGTAAGAGTCAAATGTGAATCTTACCTGGGGTTGAAGTCCGCCGAGCGAATTTGCTTGATCACTTGTTTGAGGGGCCATTCTTCATCCTTGTACAACTTGGCGATCAAGGCTCTCTTCTTCTCCCACACGTCGGATGGAATTGAATTTTTCATTTCTCACGGTGGTGTAGTGAGACGAATTGATCAAATGGTAAGATGAGAAGAGGAGGGGGGGCGAGAGAGAGAGAGAGAGAAGATGGGTAGAGAACGAGTGTAGGAGTGTGGGGGAAAAAAAAGTTGGAGGAAAAACAGAATGATTGATGGAGGGAGGGATCGAAGGATATTTTATAAAAAAAAAATAAGATAGTTAAAATAAGATAGTAAAATAATAGAATAATAAAATAAAATCTTGCGAGAGATCGGGATCTCTATATGTACTGCAGTAGCCTACACCAAGTAGTGCGGCCAGAGGAAATGGAGTAAGTAGGTCGATGGAGTAGACCACGATGATCCGTAAGGAACTCCGTAAGGTACATACGGAGGATATACCGTTAAGGTAAAGATGCGACCTCGTGCTCGGCCAACGAATAAGAGACTTTCAGGGAGGAGAAAAGAGGGGGAAACGGGGAAAGGGAGATCATGTAATTATGGTACGGTAATTACGCTCTCACGCAGTAACAGCCATTGTCTCGGGACTGTCACTGACCAACCTCTGGGTCCAAGCCCTAAAGAAGCTTTGTCGATCCCTGGAAATGAACATGGATGGAGGAATGAGATGTTATGATACATGGAGTAATTACCCCTGTTACCACCTCAACTCTATCGGAATTGCGGTAGATATGTATGTGCATGCTAGTATATACAGAGCAGAAGAGATTATCTGGTAGATAGCAGGTGGAGCGAATATAGAAGTTGTATCCTTGCTCCGTTTAGATAACAACCACCATTCAACTACTCGTAGCTATCACCTATCACCATCAACATAATACAGCATCCGATCCGAACTACCGTACGAGTGGCGGTGGATTTGACATCTCCATCGGAACCACACACCGTTGGTCATTCATCCAAGGACTCCAGGTCGATCGTCAACCAACAGGTCAGGCAGTTAGTCTAACCCTAGTATGACTGAATGACAGAGTTTCGGCCACCAGGTGATCCATCAACCTCATCGCATCAGGCCACTAAACCCAGTCTAGCACTTGGCGCGTCTCATGTAGTGCCGGATTAGGAAGCGCGCACGAAGGATGGAACGAATCACCTTTTCCACGCCCTGGATTTGTACTGTTTCTCACTGATCTGATTGTAAGATGTATATGAGAAGAGATTCAAACGCTATTTGACAAGTCAATTCGATCTCATTGTTTCCTTATATCGAGTACTCTATCCTATACTACACTGGCGGGGGACTTTCCTGTATGTTCCATCAAAGAGAAACAGGAAAAACCCACATTAAAGCACGCTATCACCCCTTGAGGTGTCTCTGTCCGTTACCTCGACTCCTCACAAATGTTCATCCATCGAGAATGATTCATTTCGTTTTCCTTTCAGCTCATTTCATAATGCTTTTTTTTTTCTTTTTTTTTCTTTTTTTTTCTTTTCTTTTACTTTTTCCGTTTCTTTTTCTTTTCCTTTTCCTTTTTTTTTTTTTTTCGTTTTACGCCTGCAGAGAAATTAACCTTTAACCTTTACCCCTTCTTCCATTCTTCTGTTCTTCTTTTTCAGAATGCCGAATTCTTATTCTTTTCCTCTTTTCAGTATATCATCCTGATACAACATCCTAGGTACAAGCCAGAGTTTGTTTCTACCTTTTCCAACCCCTCTCTAACATCTGACGCCCTTTAACTCTCTCCTGCAAATACTCCGTATTATGAGGGAAAATCTGAAATAAATGTGCGGAGATAACGGGGAGTGTTTCTCCTCCGCCGACCGAACCGGATTGGGTGTAGCTGAGAATCAGACCAGGTAAATCATTTATATTAACTTGATCTGTTGATCTCCGCTGCAGAGAGTAGACCAAGTGATTAATCTACTTGCAAATAATAATAAAAAATAAAAAAATAAAAATTATATCTCACCAGCTTTCTCCATTATTTAAATTGCTTCATTATTAGACTGGAGATATCGGTTGATCAGAGCCCAACTTGGTAAATGCAAACAAACTCCGGCCGTTGAGAAGTTTAGTGTAGGTATGATCTGGAAAGCGGATTTTGACTGATATCAGGTGATGCTGATAGAAGGTTCTTAATTTGCCGTGTCGTTAACATAGTGATGATGATTGTAATTTTATCAGCTGGAGAGAGAGCAATCTAGCCTCAGCAGAATGACTGACAATTATTATTATTATCATTATTTGTTTTATTTATTTTCTCCCCCTACACTATCGACCACGCTGCCGGGAGCCAAAGAGGATAGCGCCATAAGCTAAATCCCGAGCTAGTTCCAAAACGAAGTTGGATGCGAATCCTCAATCCAGATGCCCTGTAAGGTAGGGGCGAGCAGGGGACATCACACTGTGACACCATCGAGCACGCGGAAGAGGTAATGGGGCTCCACTGGGTGGCTATTGATTGGGCTGCCAAGGGTGATCCGGCTGCATAGCAGTGGGGAAGACTGATCCCAGCACGCCAATCAATCCGGGGCAATCTACAAGGCTAAGCCTAAAGAGGGTTAGAAGAGGATCTCCCCGGGTCCTCGAGAGGTTTTAGCTCCTGTGTCTATTGAATCGAGTCTACAATTTCCCCACATCTCAAGTTACATCCATACAAGTATGGATGTTCTGCCATACGCCGAGGTGCTCATGTTTGATCATGTTCAAGGATGGCTACACCAAAAGTACCCTTTTTGTTATTTTCCTCCGTTATCTCGAAGAACGGTTTTTTCAGACCTTCAGATTAAGGTTTTTGTTTCAGCATCTCCGGAGAATTCTGATACAAAGGACCATATTCTGAAGCAATGTCACGGCGTGGTACAAGTAGGGTGGTATATCCGATTTCCGATATCAATACCAATCGCCTAACAGTAAAGTATACCAGAGTGACCAGTCACTCGACCATATTAATTAATTAATTTATTACTATTTTCTGAATTGATGCATCCATCTCGCCAAGTTGCCACTGGGAATTGATCGACCCCACTGGGCCTTTTTGGGCCGCACGTGTCGATTTTAGCTCTGGGCCAGCAAACACCGAGACCTTCCTGGCAACCCTAACCGCAGAATATACGAGGTAATAATGACAATAATCATAATCAAACACTGGCCATCATCCGCTAGTTCTCACGGGTGATCCTCAGCCTGGGCTCCACCCGTGGCTGGCTGAAAAGGACTGGATTGGAGCTGGGAAATTTACTCAGTAAGGTACCTACTAGGCCCAGATTGTAAGGTATCGAGAGTAACTTTAAAGGATCACCCTGATTGGCATGGAGATCCGGAATTGCTGCCTTGCGCCGGTTGTGATTCGCCCACGATGAGATAATGACAGTTCCGTGCTGTCACTCTGCTTCTGCATACCTGACAGACTGAAAGATACTGTATCTACATGCCACTGTGTCACTTGTCGGCACACCGACGTCTTTCTTCTGGAGGTGATGATGCTCTTCTCATCCCTGCTCTTCTCTTCAAACATCCTCGGCATCCATAAAACCTGGTAGGTTTCTCCCGTAGACCTCCATTCTTGGTCTTCCTTTTGCTTCTGTTTTTTTCCATCTCTCCGTACCTTAACCAGACTCTACAGACAGTAAAATCAAGGAACGCCTAAGGTTCCCGAGTACCCGGCAACTCAGTACAATCCAGGCAGGTAGACCTGGTCCTCGAGGGCTACAGACCCATAGTTCGTAGTCGGTGACTATACCACATGCGCTGAAGAAGCCGAGGTGGAACCTCGGGGATACTACCACATGGAGAGGGTTTTTCCATGAGGAATTGCTGTGAGTCGTCCAAGCTCTGGCTCCTGAATCGTTGACGGTATCACAGTTCCACTCCTGTCATCTCTGGGGTTTCCAGGATGATCTGCCTGGTCCAGCTGGCTCGAGTTCAACAGTTTCGAGTCATGCACCACACCCGAACCCACCCACCCACACGCGCACACAGACACTAGACTAGACAGGATACTTGCTCAGTGCTGAAAAGTAGTTGAGTGACGACACAACACGGGCGCAGACTGGAGAGAGTGAAGGAGAAGGAGAGTAATAAAAAAAAAAAAAAAAGAGGGGGAGAAGTCTAGACGTGTGCCCCTGTTTCTCCCTAATTTCCCCATATGGGCAACGCTATAGTCACTACACACTACTATTCTGATACTAAGAGAAGAAGGAGTTGGGATGGACGAAGCAACAAATGCAATAAATGACGGTTGTGGCTCACAGGAATTACAGATTACAGGGAACTTTGAAGGAACATCCCCTCTTTTCCCTTCTACTTCTGTCTTGCTCTCCCCTGGCTCTATTGTTCAAAAGTGTCCCAGTTTATTTGATCGACCCCAAAATGATAATAGCAAGATTTGAACCACCAGATCAGATGAAACGGTAGATAGTTCGGTCCCGACCATAGGATCAGATCCCAACGGCTTTTCTTAGGTTTATCTCTGTATACATGATAGAGCCACGGTGGCAATCCAGCTCAGCCAGCCCTGTCGATAGAACAGAGTCCACATTAGGGCTCAGCCGACATATCCGTGCATTGGAGTTTTTTTTTTTTTTTTTTTTTTTGCTTGAACCCGTTGGAAAAGTCAAAACAAGAAAACCACCAAAGGATTTACACAGTCGTACAGTAGTGAGCAGGAGCCACCAATGCCGTTATTTTATTTCCTTTCTTCTATTTTCCTCTCCAAACCGTTGTTGTCACTGGACAGGAAAGAAAAGGGAGCAGTCCGTTTCAAGCTAAGACCACTGGTCTTAACCCCAAAGGAGCAATCCTTACCCAATTGAAAAACAGTCTCTCCGGCGTTAAACCATTTTTGGGCAGCACCGGATCTGTACATATCTCCGGCCTAGCGAGAGCTTATTTCCCAGATAGGAGTGGGGCCCGGAATCATTTCTCTTTTCTTTTCCGTTAGTGTTCTGTATTTTCTCTCTCTCCTTTTCTCCCATCCAATCCAGTTTGATTTGATGGTCCAAGTGTCGTTCGTCCACGAGGATTTGCCCCCGGTTCCAGTTCAGTTCCAGTTCAGGGATCCAGGCCGTGGTTGATGGGCTCTTTTTGTTGATCAGTGGGGTTGGAGGCAATTATTTCATATCTTGATTTGGGGAAACAGACAAACGGTTTTTCTGGCTTACTCAGGCTGCCCCTAGACTATATCCGGATATCCCCCATGGTTTACCCATTGTCTGTCTGTAGGACTATGATACACTGTATACTACCTCCGTACTGTACCGGCTAAACACCTACCCCAACTCCAAACTTGTCCACCTCGGCCTTGGTGATGCTGTTTTACAGCCGCAGATGAGAAGGAACAAAGTTTAGCTTTTGGAGCACAACTTGTTCCCCCTCCTCTCTCTCTCTCTCTCTCGTCGACCCCTGTCAGCGTTTAGCATGCAGGATTATTGCAGGATCCAGACATGGAGTAGTCCGGTTAGTACTAGGTCACTGGCTTCCGGATGGTTCCTAAGGTTACTGTTGAAGATGCCTATACAGTACTCCCTGATGTGGAATGGTAATATGAACGCTTGTTAATACATACATAGTCCTGTCTATCTTAATAGATATGAATCAGTCATGCTATAGTCGAATAACAAATATCCTAGGCATGTAGTCTATCATAATTTAACCACTGTTTAACCTAACTTCATTCCGTCTAAGTCAATCTACCATAAGATCCTTGTCGATCTAGTCTAGACGTCCATTTTATTCTAATAGTCAGAGTCAAGACCATGTACAACGACTATCATCATTCTGCAGAATGAGGGGGATAGAGTCATGGTCAGGCAAAGAATAGCAGCATGGACGAGCCGATCACATGGAATAGCCTCCAGATAACCTAGGTACAAGCCAAAATAAAATCCCAACGAGTCAGTGACAGGGGAAATAGTGTATCAGATTGCCAGACTAATCAGCCACTAAGGGAGAAAAGATCCATCCACTATCACACTGTTTTTTGCAAAGTCATGCTATGCCCTTTGCCCTCTGTCATAACAGGGAATCTGAACATATTACTTAATGTTGAGGAATTAGTTATCACCAACATCATCATCATCATCGGGCGGCATATCACCTTAGAGTTTCGAGTAGCATCCATTCATTCATCGGAGCATTCAGCTTTTTTTTTTTTTTTTTTTTTTTTTTTTTTTTTTTTTTTTTTATGTTTTTTTTGTCCCTCCCCGGATGTGTATTTCCTCTCCACTGTAAACACTTCTTTGAGCATTGGCTCAAGTGAGTATCTCCTCCGGTCTCCCTCAGGGTCCTATTCCCTCTCTACTCCCAGTCTACCTATGTAGTTGTTTACCTACCGGCTTGGCTGTGGACGGCAGTGTGGATTCGAGATACTCACGGACATTACTGTATCTGTCGACAGAAGTATAAACTGACTCAAAAAGCACGCGGTCGATGATCATGATCTCCCCTTTCAAACTAGTTTTTCTTTTTCTTCTTCTTCTAGTCAAACACGGTTAGATAGAGGGATTTTTTAAAATTAACATATCCATGAGAAGAGAGTTGAGTAAAAAAAAAAAAGGTGGTAATAGTAATAATAATCCATAGTAATAGTAATAGTAATAGTAATAGTAATAATGAATCAAGATAAAAAAAGACTTTGATTTCGGATTCCCCTTCGTGGAAACTTTAAAAAATCAAATCATGTCAATCCAATTGTCCATTGGACAATCTCCAAGTGAATTCCTTTCGGCATTTCCTCCATCCCAAAATCTGTAACGCCCGGGCTTTTTTCTTTCTCCCTCCCTTTATTCCTCATTGGGATCAAGCCCGATTCTTTCCCTCCCCCCAAAATGACTGGGGGCGAAATCCCATAGCCACAAACATTGGCCAGCTAAAACGACTCATGACAGGCATCATGATACAGTAAACCCACTGAGTGAGCCGAAAAAAAAAAAAAAAAAAACATGGCTGGCTAACCTGGGCTAGACTGGGCTGGCGGAAACTGTCGGCACTGGTTAAGGGCCTTTCAACGACGTCGTTTGAGACGATGCTCTTTGCCCTTTTTGGATTTTTTCTTGCTCTTGTCTGCAGGCAGCACAAGTGGCTCATCCTTCATATTCCACTCCATGAATCGGACAAGGTAATCGTCAACATGTCCCGGTTGTGGCTCCACTTCCACCTCTTCCTCTGCTGTTTCTTGCACCTGTGGCGAGGTGCCCGGCTGTGGTCCGGGTGTGCCTCCTTCTTCGGGACCACTGGCCAACGGTGTGCCAGCTTGGCTGGCACCTGCGTGTCCGGGCGTGCCGTGCGAAACGCTCCGGTCCTCAAAGTCGCCATCGTCTGCGTGCTCCAGCTCCTTCTGAGCGTTTTTCGCCGCATCGATGTCTTCCTTGTCCTCTGCCTGCTCGAAAACACGAGGCCCGCCCACACGAGTCGCCAGAACCCGGTCCATGGCTGCACTGGCTTCGTCGTGCTGCTCCTCCCGCGCATCCTCGACCCCAATCATATCGCGCGGATCGAGCTTGGTAAAATAATCCGTCGTGAATTCTCCCTCTTGGATCACAACATCATCCAGCATTCTCTTTTGGTTGGCTTTGCGCAATATGTTCGACTCGATGGTATACTCGGACACAAACCGATAGATGTGTACGTCACGCGTCTGTCCTATGCGGTGACACCGATCCTGGCACTGCTTATCCATTGCAGGGTTCCAGTCAAGGTCGTAAAATATTACAGTGTCCGCGCCCGTAAGGTTGATACCCAATCCACCCGACCGACTAGACAGGATGAACGCTAAAATACGGTCGTCGTTATTGAACCGATCCGTGAGAATTTGTCGCTGTTCAACTTTGGTGGTACCATCCAGTCGTAGATACCGATGTCCGTGGATATTGAGGAACTGTTCCAGGATATCAAGCATCTTGGTCATTTGTGTGAAAATCAGCGCCCGATGGCCACCGGCCTTGAGGTCTCGAAGAAGCTTATCGAGTCTCTGCAGTTTGCCGCAATCATATTGCAACAATCTCTTGTCCGGAAACGCGATCGAAAGACGCATCTGCGCTTCATGGAAAGGATCGTAGGGTGGGAATCGCTCGGCTTTCGTCAGGTACCGGGTCTCAATGGGGGTCAGAGCGGCCTCCGTGATACCAGATGCTACCGCTGCCGGTGTGACACAGGCGAATCTCTGAACGTAGCCGTCCATTGACTGTGACCGTTCCTCGACGGATAGGATCATTGAGGCCAGAACCGACGACTGATTCGACAGCCAATCCGCCAAGGAGCGTTTCCGTAATGGCCCCTTTGACGTCGGCCGTTGTTGGTTGTCCGAGGTGAGGAACTCAATGAGGCTACTTCCATACACTGGGCGGCGACCGTGACGCTTGGACTCAAAGTACAGACATCTTTCCAATTCTGCCATCCTCCTCTTCCTCAACTCGTTCTCTAATACTTCCAAGGTGGACTGCACAGTGGAGCCGTCGAATTCCATCTGCCAGTTAGTTCGCTTGTACTGACGTTCCCGGAGCATATTGAAGGGGCCATAAGCCATCAGTCGGGTGCTATCGTCGGCCAATCTCCGCGAGATGTTTTCCCTCGAGATAGGGACCAGGTTGAGGAAGTCGAGATCCAACTTCGTAAGAGGGTGTTCGTACAACAGGCGTCTGCGAACGAGGTGCTCCTTGGTTTTGAATTCCGTGGCCACCGAGTTTGACATTGCAAATGACGTAGAAATCTGCCTCGTCTCAAACAGATCTGGATGGTTGCAGACCTTCCGCAGTTGCATCAGACAGTTGATGATGGACAGGTAATTACCAGAGGCAAGTGTCTCTTTGGTTTGTGCCCTGGACATGAAGCCATCGTATAGATATCTTTGTCGTTTCGACAGTCTGCAGTACACAACGTGTTCATATTTTGCGGGCATCTGCTTCTCGACATCGGCTTTAAGCCGACGCAGAATATAAGGCCGGAGGATAGTGTGAAGTTTGGTAACGACTCGCTTGGCTTCATCGTCCATGGTCTCCCTACCATGTTCCAAGATGTGCTCTACAGGCCGTCGGAACCATTCAGAGAAGTTCCTCAGGTCTGCAAACCCTTCAATTCCTGTATCATCCCCATCGGAAGGCATCAAGAAGAACAGAAGAGACCATAGCTCTGTCAGATTATTCTGAAGCGGCGTACCCGTGAGTAAGAGTCTGGCCCTTGTCCTAAACGTAAGAAGCGCCTGCCACCGCTGAGAGCGGAAGTTCTTGATGTTATGCGCTTCATCGAGAATCATGTAGTGCCAGTTTCTCCGCTTCAAGACCTGTTGGTCCTGTAGCACGAGTTGATAAGAAGTAATCAGAACGTTCCAGCTGGTATCATCCATCCAGCCTTTTCGTTTTTGCCTGCGCTCTTCTTGGTTGCCATAGTACGTCATGATTTTAAAACCAGGGCACCATTTCTTGAACTCCATCTCCCAATTGAGGATGACACTTGTAGGCACGACAACAAGGTGTGGGCCCCACACTTCATTCTCGACAGCTAGATGTGCCAGCAGGGCAATTGTCTGGATTGTTTTACCGAGGCCCATCTCATCGGCGAGAATGCCGTTGATGTGGTTCACGTAGAGACCAGAAAGCCAATCCAACCCGAAATGCTGGTACTCTCGTAGGTTTCCGCGCAGTAGATGGGGTATCGGTGTCTTCATTCCGGGGGCTGGAGATTCGCTTGTCTGAGGTTGGTTTTCTCCAGTAGCCTCGTATGATGAGACAGACTCCGGCTCAGAAGGCTTCGTGATCAGCGTTCCAGGTGATGCTTCACTAGACATTTCTCCACTGTGTCGATGCTCAGGGTTTCCTTGATCTTCATGATGCGTCTCAGTGAGCTGTGGCTTGTTTTCAAGTTCATCAAATTGGAATTGAGATTCAGGTTCGGGTACGGGTTTGTCGGACTTATCGGAGACTAGTTTTTCTGGGGAAGTAACATCGGCCATTTCGACTTCGTTACCTTCATGTTCAAGATGGGCATCATCGACCAAGAGTGAATCTTCATTAATGTCCTGTGGAGCGGCCTCTTGCTCTGCAGGTCCATCGAGAGCCAAGGAAGCTTCAGCAGTATCTTGTGGTGTAATTTCTTGCCCTGAGGGTCCATTGGGAACAAGAGAGACTTCATCTGGTTCTTCAGGTTCTTCATCGTCGTAGTCATCAACTGATCCTAGTTTCGCATCATCGCCAACGTCGTCTTCGTCATCATCATCGTCACCAAGGTCATAACCCGACGTTGTATCCTTTGAAGCAAAGAAACCCAAGAGACCAGGCCCGTCATCTGCTTCCTCGTCCGAATCGGCTTCACTGGACTCTTCATCGCCGTCACTATCACCCATATCATCATCCATATCGGTCGATGCCTCCTCGCTGTCATCCAAGAGCATTGGATCAACGTCCTCGACTTCAACCTGCCCGGTTGACGCCTCTTCTGAAAGCTCCAGTAATTCGCCGGTGTCATCCGGTATAGCATCACTATGGTCAGATGAGACACTGTCATCAGAAGCTAGGGACTCGCGGCCCATGGTATCTTTGTTTGTTTCAGTAAGATTGGCGTATTTTAACCGGAGCTCCTCTGCTGTTAAACCTTCATCATCGTCGACATCGCCATCCGATTCGGAATCCGTAGATGACATATTGCTTTCATCGTCTTCCTCGCGGTTAGACGAGTAGTCCGTTTCAACCTCACCGTCGCTCGATCCTGGAAAGTCGCTTCCAGTTTCACCCAGGATCTCTGATCGCCGCTTTTCAAATAGCATGGTTGATTGTTTGATGGCACGGTCCAAGGCTTGCTGGTCTTGTACTTTTCGCTCTTCTTCCCAGCGTGCTAACCGTACCCTATCAACCTCCGCGCGTGCTAGGTCGAACATCTTCTGTAAATCCTTGGCCAACTGTTTGCGTTTCCCGCGCATTTCTTCTTGTTGCTCCTTAAGAATATCTTCAGGGCGCTTGTGGCGTTTCCTCCAGGCATCAGCGCACCACTGCGCGAAGAGTTTGGCCGTATTGCGATGTCGTCGATGTTCCTGGTCAAGAAGCTTCTTGAAGTACAGCGCATGTGCAATAAGATGGTCTTGATGCGAATATTGCTGTGGAGGTTCTTCCTGCTGCTCCGGCAGAAAAGCAGAGCAAATTTCCGAGCTGAGAAGCCCGCCGGGTTCTGCTGCAGCCATTACTTGGCGCCGTTTCTGTGCCTCCTCAAGTGCCTCTGCGGGCATTAGTATAGCATCATCCTTGGGTGCACCCTCCTCGCTCTCAATCCATTCACGAAAGGACCCGTACTTGCGCGGAGCCAAAACATGAGAAGGGTGCTGGATGCCGATAGATGGCTTTTTGACCTTGATTCGCAGCCTCGCCACCCGCTGCCCAGATTCATCGCCCTGCTCATCCTCCTCGCCTAAGTCTCCTTCATAATCCTCCACGCCACTTCCTCCTGCTAACGTCATGTCCGCGGGGGATTGGATCGATCGATTCGCGGACCCATTAACATTCGCACTGGTATTATGGAGAGTGTTCGACGCGCCGGAACTTCGAGATCTTGTGCGGGTAGGGGCCTGTGCCGATGCAGGCGACTGTGATACACGCTGCCGTCTGCCAGCTGCGCCCCTTAGAGGGGTAGGGTGCTTTGGAGATCCATTAGTTGCGATCTTGCCACCAAGAGACTTTCCATTGACCCCCGAGTGCGATGGGGTCCCTGACAACGGCGATGATGCTGCCGCTTTGCTATCACCAGAACCATTCCTCGCTACTGAGTTCGGTGGACCCGTTCGCGAGCTTCGCTTCTCGGACGGCTTGTCGGACGGGGACTGGAAGAGAACCGAATTGACTCTGGAGGACTTGCGCCTGCCATCTTGAATGAAGGACGTTGGTCCATCCGCGCCGGCTTTCTTCCATGGAGGCGATGCCGGCCGGGGCGTTGACCGTCGAGAGCTAGAAGATCCTGCGACCTTTCGCTTTTTCGATGGAGGCCCGTCGGGATGGTCAGTTGCGACCTCATCCTCTTTATGTTCACCAGTAATCAAATCCCCATTCGCAATATCCGTCGTTTGTTCCGGTACAAGAGCATCGTGGGGGTTGGCTTCAGGTACGGGGGTCACGCGTTCATCTTGGTGGGATATGCCATTCAGGCTGCCGTTTTGCATGTCTTGTAATCACGGACGACAGGGGCCCTCTTCACAGCTGACCCCAGTTTTCCCTACGAGGACGCGGTCGATTCGGGAAATTTTAGCGTCAACGGGTAGCGGTAATAGAGTCAAGGCGCCACAAGAAGTTTGGCATAGTTATCGGCACGATAGCGTGGCTGGTGACAAAATAATCACTCGGATGGAGAGATTGCTTGAAAAGGTGGTTTTTTCATACCGTGACGAGGAGTACGGGGACGTGTATGTAAGCGCGCCCGCGCCGCCTCGTTGATGCCTTAATTTTTCTTCATGCCTCAGGCGGTAAGGCTCCTTCCGCAAACCTCCAATCCGAATCCCGTCATTTGTCGCTCTCACTACAACCCACGGCCAACTGAGCCTTTCTGCCCACCCCTTGCTACCAGCACTTTGTTCTCCCGAACATAGAACAGTGAGTCCATCTATAATCACATCTTGCCGTCCAAGCTAGTCTGAGCTGCCAATTCTAACTCTGTCGAACAGATGCTGTCCCAACGCATTTTGACCCGGCGCCTGCCCCAGGTGGCTGCCCGCTATACCACTCCCCGCGCCTCATTCTCTCAAGTCCGATCTCTTGCGGCTGCCGAGCTTGACGATCCTTTGCAGGTACTGTGTATCTATGCCATTGATTGCTGTCGTTTCGTCAATTGACCTCATGCCCTTTCGCGATATAGAATGGCAACTACCAGAACCCTCCCCGTATGAAGCGTGCGTTCCGCGATCCTCACGCCGACTGGTGGGACAAGCAGGAAAGACGAAACTTTGGCGAGCCGGTTCACGAGGAGAACGAAATTCTCGGAGTCTTCAGTCCTGAGCAGTACACCCACGTTTCCGCTCGCAAGGGTCTCTTCCAGGTTGGATGCTTCATTGTCACCTTTTTGGGATTCTGCGGCGTCGTCAGCTTCTACTACCCGGACAAGCCTAGTGTTCCCAAGACCTTCCCTGGAGGCTTGGAGAAAGAGCTTGGAGGTCCGAATGCTTTGCCGGTGCGTCCTTTACTGCCGTACATACCGATTTACGATATATGTCAATAAGCTAACTCTTAATTCTAGGCTCGCAAAGAGGGTGAGGACAAGTGGTAATTTGCTTTGATTTTATATTGTGTAAATAAATACAGGACGATTTTCTCTTTCGGCGCCAATCGAGGGTCTGATTGTCGATGCTTTGGGGGAGACTGCTCTTCATATCTGACTACTGCGAAAATGTTGACAGTTTGTGACACTACAGACACACCCGATTCCGTCTGAAAACCCTTAATTGCTGCATGCGATGCAGTGCTGCGGTTCATTAAATATCTTAATGAATGGCGGTGTACCATGTAGTATCTCCACCAACAAATACGTGAAGCCAAGGACAAAAAATTATGGACAAAAGAGCAACAAGAGATACCGGCAAAGGGTATTTTATGTTATTTGTGCAAGCTGTTTTAGTATATATCTTCAAGCTCGGTTTCGTTTTGATGGCGATCTTGAAAATGAGGTGAGACCTAGAAACACCAGGTTTAGCAGGTCTCTTTAAAAGAATTCGATTTTATGTCTAGTTATTTTTGGAGAAGTAAAAATAACAATTCAATAATAAAACCAATAGCCCACGGCAATTTCTTGCAGGGGCTTTGGTCTGGTGTTTGGTGGTTAGTCTTTACTACGTCAGTCTATTTTGGTCTCTTTGGAGCTTTTTGTTTCAGGTGCAACAAAACACCTCCCGCAGGGACAACTAAACCCCCCTTTCTCGGTTTCCACCACCAACAATCGCCAAAGAAATATCCCTTCTCTTGTCTTTCACGTTTTCTCATCAGGCCCCGCAAAACAAAGCATACGGTACTCGAAAGATATTCCCATCCGGCTTATGCTGGCTGGTGGTTTGACCGTGAATCTCTATCCACGGTCCCACACTCCGCACCCCTCTTCCCCGAACCCTACAATATTTTGATAGAGACAGAACTCCATGTCGACAGCATCTACCCAATCCCGAGGCATCAACCGACGGATCAACAGCCTTCAAAATGAAGCCCGGCACTCACGCAGCCTCTCCGGGTCTCGAAGGCGCCCAATCAACTCCTCGACCGCGTACAGCTATGCTCTCCGTGTAGCTTACCTCGCCTATCTTCTCCAACCTCGTTCCAAGCGCATACAAAATGTGCCCGCTCCTCAACGGCCCAAGCGGACGTCGACGTCATTCCATGATTTGATGAGCGATTTTTCTCTGGTCAAAGACTCCAAAAGCACGAAATTTCCGCATGGATTCATAGCCGAGCTGGAGAAGAGGCTGACGGGAGTCTTGATTGGAAAAGAAAAAAGAAAGGAATACCAAGATACCCTTGTCGTGAGGACCTTTGCTGCCTTTCTCAACACATTGAAGGAACAGTCGTTCAAGAAGCGGATGGAAAAGGATCGCCGGGCTGAGGATCTCGTTCTTATATTCTACTCGAATGCAACCAAGGAGCTGAGCAAGGGCAAAGATTCAGATGATGATAGTTGGAAGTTAATGGTGGATAGACATGTTGCTCTTTTCGTCCGGCTGTTTGGACTCATCCTGAAAGGCCAGGATTGGGCCAAAGAACGACCGGAGTTGGCAAATCGGTTATCTGTCTTGGAGAATAAACTTCTTTCCCAGGACCAAGACCTAGTTCAGAATGGGTCCTCTGAGACGGTGGAGGTTATCGCTCCCCTGAGTTACGATGTAAAGGACATGCCACTCGTACAGCATGTTGCGAAGATATTTGACATGACCACAGCTCAGGTGCAGGCCGATCTTGATAAAAATAGGGCGGTTTGGACCGGACAGGCAGCACTCCAGGATCTGAAGGCGTATCAAGCCCATTTGAATCTCAAGACCCGCAAAACACTGTCGAAGGAGGATTTTGAGAACGAGGAAGCATATGAAACCTGGAAGAGGAGTGAAGGTCCCGATCTCTCCCAGATGATGCTTGCTATTGTACAATCAAATCCAGAGCTTGCAAAAAGTACTCCAGGTGGTGCTCTTCCTCAGTTTAATACAGGCGCTGCCGACCAGGACGGGTCATCTGGAGAGCTCTCAAGAAGAAACTCCGACAGGCCTACATCATTTGTCATCGATCAGTCGATTGATCTTAGTTCACTGTCCTTCAGTGATGATGGTAGCAACAATTCTGACGAATCCGATACATACACGTTCATTCCATCGGACCCAAGGCCCTTATATAAATTCATACTGGCTCGAACCCTAACCCATGACCTGAAAGACCGCGAAATGGAAGCCGCTCAAAATGCCTCCGAGATTCCGTCCGGAAGATTATTCTCAAAACAGTCTACTGAATTCCTAAACGAGGTTTGCCTTCGCTGGCGAATCCCAAACTTCTCCAGACTTGTCCTATTTCTCGATGTTGCTCGGACAAAGTTTGTGGATAATGAGATTGATCTGAATACCCTTGATTCAGCATTTATTTTTGCCAAAGAGTCGCCCTCGCAGGAGGGCAGGAAACGTAGTAGCTTCGTGGCTTCGGTCCTCTTCGACAGAAAAAGATGGACTATCCACGACCTTCTTCTGATGCAGCAGCTACTTTCTTCTCTTCACGAAGCTCTGCTGCGAGAATTGTACGATGTCATGATGGACTGCTATGAGGCGAAGCCGCGTCCAATTGGCCCGGTCATGTACGTCCTAGAGAATCACATCCAACTGGATCCCAATTATACAGAGGACTCAGAGGACATTGACCGTTTCCGCTCGTACGTACAAGAGGGGCTTGCCCAAAAAGCGACAGAAAGATATCAAGATCTTCTTGGTCAGGAGGTACCAGTTGAACCGGAAGCCTGGAAGATAGACCATGTCATTCAACTTGGTGAAGCCATAACAAAACTTGCACAGAAGATTCGGAAACGATATCGAAATAACCCGGAAATCATGGGGTAAGATGCTGTCGATTAACCTAGTCTTTCTGTTCCTTGCTAACAGTCGTCAGGGTGAATCCTTATAACATCTTACTTGCCAATGCACTCCCTGTTTACGCTGAAGATGCTCACGAGATGGTGGTCAGGATTTTTGAGCAGGCAAAAATGAAGGAAGAAGAGATTGATATGCAGGACGGTTTTGATCTCTACAAACAGCTGACTGCCACGCGGCGACTGTTCGCAGAATCCCTTCCCGAGTAAGACCTTCCACTTTTTCTTCCGGTTATCAAATTCTCTGACTTGATATAGCGTTCCTTTCCCCTTCCATGTAGAAGATCTTCTAGAGGGCTTTGTCTGGCAATGGATTCACCTGACCGAGGCGAAGGTAATGGATTGGGTTGAGCAAGCAGTCAGGAAGGACGTCTTCACTGTCCGAGCCGACGATTCAACCGAAGTTGCCCCCGAAGACTACAGGCATAGTGTGTCCGTGATCGACATATTTCGTTCTTTCAATCAGGTGATTGAACAGATGATGGATCTCGAATGGGACGACGATTTCCAGTATGCAAAGTTCATGACCGCCCTTTCCAAATCAATAGGGAGAGGTGTGTCGAAATACTGTGATTCTCTAGAGCAGATGTTTGCCAGAGAAATGGACCGGTTGTCACCCGATCAAGAGGCAGCCATGAACCAGACGACTCAGGAGAAATTGGTGCAAATAGCAAAGGAGGCATGGACAAGTAAGGAGAAGATCGAACCATTCCAGTTCTTCCCCGAGGTATGTGCATTTAGTTATTAGATTTCTCCTTCCAACTGCGCTAATAGTCATCGACAGTCTCTTGTGAAACTGAACAACATTGAATATGCCCTCTCTCAACTCGACAAGCTTGAAAGTGAAATCAACGTTGATGGATGTGCGGAAGTAATCGCACAGAATGCCCCACCTCAAGTTCAAAAGATTCGCAAATCAACAACATACGTCTTCACTATCAAGATTGTGGAGGCCGAAGACCTCAAAGCTTGCGATATGAATGGCAGCAGTGATCCTTATGTTGTTTTGACAGATGAGTATCAAAAACGCATTGCAAAGACTCGCATTATCTATAACAACCTCAATCCTCGATGGGATGATACGGTCGACATTACAACGCAAGGCCCGCTAAATATCATCGCAACGGCCTGGGATTGGGACGCAGTGGGCGACCATGACTACGTCGGTCGGACGTCAGTCAAATTAGACCCTGTGCATTTCAGTGATTTCCTCCCAAGAGAATACTGGCTGGACCTGGACACGCAAGGAAGGGTGTTGCTCCGTGTAAGCATGGAAGGCGAACGTGATGACATCCAGTTCTACTTTGGAAAGGCATTCCGAACCTTGAAACGTTCTGAGCGAGACATGACTCGCAAGATCACGGAGAAGGTAAGATATAAATTCTCCATGTTTCTGCTTGGACTTTTTAACAGATCATTAACGACTGCCTCCAGCTATCTTCGTATATTAGCCATTGCTTGTCACGCCGAACATTGAAGTCTTTGCTGTCCCAAAAGCTCACTATGGCGAGTGTATCGAACTTTCTGAACCGCAATCGCACGCAGCCTACTACCGTTTCACCGTCTGCGGCGGATGTGGAAAACGCGCTTACTCCTCTTTTTGACTACTTCAACGATAACTTTGCAATCATGAACAAAACACTGACATCCGAAGCGATGAAAATGGTCATGGCTCGTTTGTGGAAAGAAGTACTTGCAACTATTGAGAGTCTTCTCGTACCACCCTTGTCGGATAAACCATCGCATCAGAAGCCTCTGACTATGCAAGAGGTTGACATCGTCTCACGCTGGCTCGTGCTTCTTCTAAACTTTTTTCATGCAATTGATGATGAGACCGGTGAAGCCAATGGCGTCTCGATAGATATCTTGAAGTCGCCCAAATATCACGAGATTCAGAGTCTGAACTTTTTCTATTTCGAATCGACAGATAACCTTACCCGCACTTCGGAACGCATGGCTTCAGCGACAGTGAGTCGCCAACAGGCAAGTAAGCATCGGGTATCGGCGCCAGCACAGATAGGCGCCTCCAGTCCTGGCAGCATCCTCGGTCTCCCTAGTGCACGACGAGCGAAAAGCATTATGCTCTCCCGAAATGTGGGTACGCTGAGGAAAATGAAAGAAGAGAAGTGGCGTGAAGCCCAGGCTGAACCAAATGATGACATGATCCTGCGTATTCTCCGTATGCGGCCAGAAGCAGCTGGGTATCTTCGCGATCGAAGCCGCCAGAAAGAAAGACTTGCAGCCGCAGCAGCTGCTGATGCCATTGTCAAACAAAGTCTCATGGCTGGTGCTGGTGGAAGGTTGACTGGGAACCCTGGACGACGATGAGCTGGAGTTATTACTGTCATTTCGCTTACAGCGAGCATTTTCTCCCTTCCCCCATCCCCTCCTTCTAGTCTTTCAACTCTCTTTTCTCGTTCCCTTCATGTTCTTCTTCCCTTTTATTTCCGGTTTCATTCCAGCATTGTTTGATTTCTTCGATCTCGACGTTGATGATTCCCATGGCCTGCTTGTTTCTCGATTTTTGAATTCTCTTCTGTCTACTCTGGGGGCTCTGTGGTATTCAAGTATGGAAGCGGCAAAGCTACCACATAATGGATATTTAATCAATCAGTTACACGATGATGGTTGTGAAAGTAGTTTGTCTATATGCGCATCTGAGATAGGCAATCATGAAATGATCCACCCCTTCAACTTTCTTTTGATTTACAAGGGAAACCATATACTGTTTTTATCTTTTTCGATTGTTGAAGAATTTTATTTTCTATATATTTGGCTCATATCCGGCTTTTATCCCTTCCCTTGCTTTACTCAAGAGCAATGCACTCGATCTCGACAGGCACACCCTTGGGCAGCTGAGCAACAGCAACACAGCTGCGAGCAGGCTTGTGGGTGAAGAACTTCTCGTAGGTGGCGTTCATCTCAGCAAAGTTGGCCATGTCAGTGAGGAAGACCTACAATAATAAGCATCATCGTTAGTCATTATGCACATAAACAAACACAATATATCCAAAGCAAAGGGGTAGAAAACGCACATTGACCTTAACGATCTTGGAGACGCTAGAGCCAGCAGCGTCAAGGATAGCCTTGATGTTGTTGCAGCAGACCTGGGTCTTCTCGCCGATGTTGCCCTCGACCAAGTTGGCAGAGGCGTCAGCGGGGATCTGGCCGGAGACGAAGATCTGGCCATTGGCGCGGATGGCCTGGGACTGATGGTTTAATTTGTGTTAGATCATGTCATTGTGACTGATATGGTAGGTGTTTTGGTTGTTTTGGTACGGAGTGGGATAGGTGAAAAGGTAGATAGATGAGTAGGTTGACTCGGTAGGACTTACGTAGGGGCCTGCAGCTATAGGTGAACGAAAAAGACGTGTCAGTAACTTGGCTTGAAAGATTTCTTTGGGCGCAATAATAGTAATAGCAATTGAGTCAGTAACATACGAGGGCAAGCGTCCTGAGCAGAGACAGCCGTCATTCCAGACATGGTAACGATTTGGCTAGAAAGCGGGGACTGATAGAGGCGAGGAGGTAGAGGAGAAGAAGAAATACGGGGAGATGATAGAATGCGAGTAGAAGAGAGAATGCGAGAGCAGCTGCTTCTGAGCATGAGGTGAGGAAGTTAAATACTGCTGGACCTTGGAGGTGGTGATAATCAATTCCCGCGGGAAAGTTGTTGATGGCCTACGGCCACTGCCCCGCCCGACATCGGTGGGGATGGATGTCGTTGGAAGGCGGGTGGCATCGGCCAAGGAATGGAAGCAATCATGAAGTTCTTATTATTAATTATGTTGCAGTAGTTCTTGGGATGGATTATAGACATGAAAGAACAATGGGTAAATAATGATGCTATTATCATATCCGGAAGTAAAAAGTTACAGAGAATAAAAGTATGTCCAAGGGGGAAATAATCATAAATCATGACATACGCTCAATAATGTCCAGAGAAAAGAAAGCAGAATAGCATACACAGCTGGTCATAGACCATCATGCCTTATGTCCCAGGCTGCCTAACTGTTGGATAAAGCTAGCAGTCTGTTCAGGCGAGTATCCGAAAAATACTGGACCATTGAAGACTATAGTCGCAGGTGCAGCCGGGTTGGAATTGTCCAAATGCGCAGAGGCACTGGGCATTTCTCCAGGGTTCTGTTCAGAAGTATCTGCTGGCAGTTGCCTCACATCTTGATTGCGAATTGTCGCGGTCTCTGGTTCCAGGTTTTCAGGCTTTGGTGCACCACGTCCGAAAGGACAACGACCCTTTGGCGCAGGGGCACCGTGGGGACTAGGCGATGGAGGACGAAGTTGGGCAACAGAAGAGGCATCCACGTTATCGGACGGTTTGGTCGAACTTTTGTCCGAGTCAACAGGAACCTGGGCGACTGGCGAGTGCGGTGCAGAAATGGGGGCTTGCATCGCTGCTGGAACAGGAATTCCCCAAGGCCTGCTTGGGGATTCACCAACTCGAACCTCACGCAAAGGACGGTCGAAATGACCCTTTCGTTCCTCGCCATCTTCCTCCTCTTCCTTTATGGCACCGTTCATTCCCCCTTCGAGAGACTTCGAGCCAACATCTTCAGCCCATCTTTCCACTCGGTCTGCGGAGGAATTCGAGCTCGGTTCGCCGTTCGGACCACGACCAGGAAGAAACACTTGGTGTTTCACGGACAAGCCCTGGATCATGTTGATCAGATTACCATATTTCGCGTCTAACTGCCGCATGCTTTGAGAGTCTCGTTGATAGCGATTGACACAAATGGCATGGCTTCTAGGGATTTCATGTTTGTGCCTCTCGACATAGTCAGCGACTTCTTCCGGAGTATGCTGGTCCAGGTATCTAATGGGACATCGAGCAATAGGACATCGAGTGTTTGACGACCTCGCAGAATGCGAGGGCGTCTGGCAGGAACGTCTATCATTTAATTCAGCTTTGATGGGGTCCTCATCATGACCACATGAATCACCGTTCTGGGCTTTGAAGGGATCTTCAATCCCATTGAGTACCCCATTCTCAGGGGGTTTATTGTTTGGCTTCGCAAAGGGACACCGTAGACTTCCCCGCGTGCCTTTAGTAGTAAAATCCTTCTCGAGAGAAGGTACTCCTGCTCTCGTCGCAACAGAACATTGGTTGAGGCCAGAGAGCAGGCTATCTTCCTGTGAATTTGGTATGGATTTGTAGCACTCCAACCCATCCGTTATGGCAGCAAGAACCTGACTTCCTACATTTCCAGATTCTGCAATTGTTTTGACTACATCCGCAGGTTTGAGCGACTCTTCACGAGGTTTATCAAATTCTGCATCACGACCGATGATCTTTTCCGAGATGATCTTTGTATGGGAATCCAGTCCGCCAGGGAGTCGGTCTGCCAGTTTCAAGTACTGAAATAGTAACGTTAGCACGTACTCTTTGGGATACAGCAAAACAAGTGTCAAGTCTCATCAGATAAAATTATTATCCGTCACTGCCGCAGATGCGACTACGGATCTAGAGCTAATTGAATTTTTTTTCTCGTCATTTGAGACATAGGGGAGGGTAGCAGAAAACGAGGGTAAGGTAATATTTACCTGATCATGAGCATAGCTCAGCTTTTTTTGCAAATGTTTCTCTCTACAACTGAGTTGGTGAGCTGTCAAGAGAAGACCCTCAAACGCTCGGGTCAGGTGCTGTAGCTGCAGATCCTGCTGCATCTCTCGGATGACAGGAGCTGGGGCCATATTGTTGCTAAGTAAAGAGGTTACAGTATTGTGGAAGGCTCATCAGACAATCCAACATAGCACTTCTGCATGGAGCAGAGCTGCAGAGGCGCAGCTTAAGACATTAAGGGAGAGAAAGGGAGAGAAGCTGATCGTTCGGCTGGCTAAACAGAAGAAGCCCAGCGAAGGGGATGGCGTTTGCTAAGCGAGATGGCCCGTGCATAACACCACGTGACAGTTGTTTATCAACAGCATTGTTCTTTGTAGATTCATATAGTGATGTTGACCAACTAACATACATAAATTCAATCTCTGTCCTGGGATCCTACTTCACGATATCTTCCAAGATGTAAACCTCACTCATTTTCCAATTTGCCTTGGGTATGGCAAGCAAAACACACAAAGGTGTCCTTTCCAGTATGGTTGTCAAGATGAATGTCCTCTCATGAGTCCAGCTACGCTGCGACCCGTTGTCTGAGTCTAAAGGCTTTTTGTTTTTTTTTTTCTTTATTTCATTTTAGTCTTTATCACTTGAGAGAAATGCGTTATCAGGGATTCTGCCCTTACCTCGATTTCTTATTGCCGTCAAGAGTCGACAAGTATCATCTCATTTGCAGCACGAGCAGAAGTCGCCCATCTCAACGTCTGAAGCGTCATGTGTGGAGAGGGCATTGAATCCGGGTGCAGATAGGAGGATCTGGGGCTCTTCGTCTGTGCCTCTAAGCTCACTCATCGAACGGGATCGATAGAGGCTACTGGTATACGCCATTTCACGGCTCTGGAGGGCGCGATGGTGATCGTCAACCGAAGTGTGTTCCATGCTCGAGGCTCTAGGACGAGTCATAATCTGGTTGTTTTCGGTGTGTTCGGTTTGGGTACCCTGGACCACCGAAGTGATTTCCATTGACTGCAGGGCTTCAACCATCGTAGCCTGTTCTTCTGGAGAGAGGTGCGAAGTGGGAACATCTTTTATTTCGTCGGTAGTGTATTGGTTGGATGAGTTGGCCATGTCAGCGTTGTTTGGGGACGACTCCATCTCGGGATGATTGCCCTGACCAAGCTTGAACCAGTTTGAGGCCATGATAGAGAATGGATGCTAGGTGTGGCTATCCAGTTTTCCTCTTCTATTTTTGGTGTTTCTTGGCTGGGGAACTTGGTTTGGGAGTGTGTTTGTTATCCTGGGAGAGTATGGTATGGGAAGGAGTGAAGGTGCTGCACTGGCGATGCGATGGAGGTTCCTACGGTTACATCTACTTTTGTTCAGCAATCATTTGATATTCCTGCTTACTTCAGTCTCGGCAGCTGTTAAGTAACATAATATCATCAGCCCTTTATCTATGAGCATATTGACAACTTCACCTTGATATGTAGGCTGTATCTCAGAGGCAAATTTGTCTTGGTAGAAATTTGGCTTGGGGTTTAATCCACAAATCCGTCTCGATGCTTCTATTGAACTTGTTTTGGACCTTCTTTTTATCACCCATCTTAGATTTTCTGTTTAATTAAGTCCATAAGATATCTTGTTCCGCGACTTGTACGGTAGGTCCTACCGCAAACAGGCAACAATCAACGACTCGCATGGGGGTTGTCTATCCTGGCGCGCACAATCGATAAATCCGGGCTCTCCAGTCTGTTCATTTGCCCTGGGAAGAGCCACCCCAGCATGTTAGGTGCTTGGGGAGTTTGATGCTGGCATTTCAGTGATGCTTGTAGAGCGTTCTATGGCAAGGAGAGGGCCCAGACACAAATAGGATGTTAGGTACGCTCATTAAGTCAATGGTAATTAAAATCGGTTGTCTTGGCTAATCAATACGAGGGCTTTGGTGGAATCAGGCTTTCATAAAGTAGCTCTAGTGGGTGGGCAACATGTCATTCTGTATGGACAGTGCCAGGAAGGGGAAAAGACTGTGTGGTATGAGGGAAATTGGGAGCAAATGAAAGTGCGTAGGCCGTTTCATTGTAGCTGCTCGTTGTGGCTGCAGTGAAACTGGGAAGCTGATGAGCTGGTAATAAGAAAAGCAATATGATTTAGTTTATATATGTTGATATGCTTGATTTTGTTCGATAGAGAATAGGTAAGAAAACACCATGCTGTGTGTGTGCGTGTGTGTAAGAATATATAGTTTCTTCGCAACGGAACATCAATCTACCAGCAGTATTACACAAAGACAGTACGATAAAAGACCAGACCCTAATCTAGCAGTGTATTTTAAAATAGCAATACCGAAATTAAATCACATACTGATAGGTAGATGCCATTATTGTGGAAGTATCGCCACATTAGTTACATCTGCAAGATAAGAAGAGCCAGGGATAAATCTCGGTGCTGCTGCTGCACTGCGTTGACAGGCTCATGTAGCACTTTAAGACCACTCATGATATAAAAGCAGCAGCCGGGCTAGCTCAATCGGTAGAGCGTGAGACTCTTAATCTCAAGGCTGCGGGTTCGACCCCCGCGTTCGGCTTTACTTTTTGCTTTTTTTTTTTTTTCCCCTGATGTCGTTTAATTTTTATCTTATCTGCAGGCGTCGGCGGCTTTCTTCTCTGACCCCCCTCCAGCATGAAGTAAAAATAGTGAATGGAAATCGACGGAATGATAACGCAAGGAATCGCACAGGAAAAGTTACATCAATTAAAATGCGGTCAATTGAGTTTGCGTGGAGAAAAGTTTCATCCTACACTACAGTAGTAGGGAAGGTACATAAGATCAGCCACACCCCTGTATGAAGGACTAGTAGTCAAGCAATTGAAACCCATACAACTGGCAAGTGGCAAGACAAACTCAGTTGTCCAATATTGCTAGATGTACTCCGTAGATAGAGTATGATTAGATCATGGACATGCCCATGCACCACTGTCTTGACTCTTGACGCAAGTTCCACACCGTCAGCCAACTCAGTCTAACAGGCGTGATATGCCTGCAAATATTCTAAGTCTTCGTTTTATTAGATTCATAGAGCACTATAAGGCCGGTCATGACATAAAAGCGGCAGCCGGGCTAGCTCAATCGGTAGAGCGTGAGACTCTTATGAGATTCATCTCAAGGTTGCGGGTTCGACCCCCGCGTTCGGCTTTAACCCTCGCCGGGCTAGCTCAATCGGTAGAGCGTGAGACTCTTAATCTCAAGGCTGCGGGTTCGACCCCCGCGTTCGGCTTCTTTTTGCTCTTGTATCGTGTGATTTGGCATGTCGTTGTTGATTTATCTTTTTGTCGACTGTATGGCGTTGTGGTGGTGGTGGTGGTGGTTGGTGGCTGTTGCTTACCCGCCTATATGGATGGAGTAAGTGTGTGTATCCAAGGGTCACTAAGCGCCGACCACAGACAGCCCACTACCGACTAAAAAAGAAATCCCGTCAGCCAAATATATGCGACGATCCTTCCGTTAGTGGCTGCAAATGCAAACTAAAGAGAGACTCTGCTGGACAACGAGTCTGTGTGGACAACCCAATCCACCTGGCTGTGAAGATCATCAAGCCGACCTGATCCAGACAAGACAGGACAGGCAAGTCCTCTTCCGTGGCTCCCCGCTCTCATATGTGCTAGCCATTGCCCTGCTGCAGGATTGGGATGATGATACCGGATAGTCACCTCTGGCTGACCAGGAGCGAGTTTCAGAATCGCAGAACCTGGCAGTTTTGACCCACTGGACAGGTTGTACTCGCTGTACCTGCTTGGAGCCTTGGAAGCCAAAAGACATACGGAATTACATGCTCGTACACCGTCGGAGATTTTCGGACATGGTGGTATTCGATATTCGATGAGATCTTAAGAATGAGAGACATGTGGCAGAATTTCGGGTTGCATGATGAATGAACCCATGCCAAGTTCTTCAAGACAAGTGAAGAACAAAGACCAGTTATTCGCGGTGGAAGATTTGTCCATAGTATTTACCACTAGGGTCCCTGGTAATTGCACATCGCCGTCCATTACATGACTCGTTTCAGCAATCTTGAGGGGTAAATAGCATAGCATCGCCTATATAGTGTTACATTCGGTGGGAATGTTTACGTACCTTCGATCTGACAGCCTAATGATGGGTTCTAAGTCTCCATGATGGCTCTTCGCATATACTCGCTCAGCTGAAAAGCGCCTGATGTGCAGGGGATAGTGGGGCTGGTTGTCTGAGAAGAGTATGCCAGCATGAACATCGCATTCAATGGTGAAAAAAAAAGAAAAAAAGAAAAAAAAAATAGTAGCCATATTTAGTACCGTTCCGCAGGAGGAGCCGTAGGCGCCATCTCGAAATTAATCGTGTGTATTATTGATTTATTGATTATTGATGATCAAGACACGAGTTGGGATGGGTGGACTGCGGAGCTATCAGCGGCCTCGTTTGATCCACGAGGCACAGACCGCGGCTGGTGGATGCGGCGATATCTAATGGGAATACAGGAGCAGAGTTGAGCAGTTTTTCGACTATGATAATCACTAAAACAGACTATTATTTATTTCTGTATAATCCGTAATACAAGAAATAGAATATATCGAGTTATCTGACCGCCGGTTTTCGCTGGTGGTGGTTGCATCGCGCAGGGATTATTAGGGATCTACACCCCTCCATATGGTTGATAGCACAGGTTGTCTGAGGAGAGAGAGAGGATAGGCCGCATAGAAAAAAAGAGACTGAGGGATCAAAATTAGGAGAATAAATGGCCATCAATCAGTTCCGTTTCCAAAGAAATGCCCGAGACAGCGTTCGTTGCAGGTGATGCAGGATACTTGCATTATTGTTGGAGGGGCAGCAGGACTATTAGGCGGGGAGATGGCGAAAGAATCAGTAGAGGAACAAATCAACTATTCTTGTCCAGACAAGTGGTGCATTGTGACCAACGGTTGCGTGGCGAGTGAATCAGAATCCAGAAGGATGACTTACTGTCGAGAGAGATTCACAGCAGATGGTGTGAGAAGAATTCTAGACTCTGTCCAGTCAACAAGTCATCGGAGGAGGGGTCGATCTGGATGTATCGGTATTGGTAATACACCAGAGTCAGACAGAAGACGAGAAAAGTAGTATTTAGGCTGTTAGTATTTATAGCAGAGTATGGAAAGGATAAGCACACACCTAGTATTTGGTAGTATTTTAATTTTACTCTGATTACTCTTGTCTATTTAGGTTGTCGATGGGAAACTAGAAATCTACTACTGCAAACCTCGACAGCATGGCGTGCTCAGCCAGATTAGGGCACAACAAGAGATTCAAAACAGCAAAAAGAGAAGGGAAGATGGCATATTGAAATAACCAGAGAGTCAACGAGAGATCCTATATTATCAAGAATATACCAGAGTGAATAATCAGTCAAAAATATCCCAAATAATGGAAGAGAATAAAGCGAAGTGTCGGATATGTTACAATACACAATACAAAAATACCGCCCACTTACCCTCGATTGCTATACAATTTTTTTTTCTCTTTTCTCCGCCTCTTTTTTGCTTATCACGTCGTTTGCTAAAACTATTTTACCTTTGATCTCCTCTTCCCCCCTCCACCCCTGATCTTTTTCCCTTTTTCCCTTCTTCCCTTCTTCCCCTCCCCTCTCTTTCTGTTCTTTTCTTTCTTCTTTCTTTCTTCCATCATGTCCCAATCTACCCCCGATGCCACCACCCAAGTCGCCGGACAGTCCTCCGCCCATCCCTCCCGCGCCGCCGAACTCGCCAGTCTTAAAGTAAGACTGAGGGCTGCTCTGCGTCAATTCCCCGATTTCCCCTCCCCTGGTATCTTGTTCGAAGACATCCTGCCCATCTTCGCCGATCCCACTTTGCACGAAGCCCTCATCCGCTCTCTCGAATTGCACCTCTGCGAGACCTATGGTGGTCAGAAGCCCGATGTCATTGTTGGTCTGGAGGCTCGAGGCTTCTTGATCGGCCCCAGCTTGGCCTTGAGATTGGGTGCCAGCTTTGTCCCTGTCCGTAAGCAGGGTAAGCTGCCCGGTCCTTGTGAGACTCAGGGCTACGCCAAGGAGTACGGTCAGGACTTCTTCCAGATGCAGTCCGATGCGATCAAGCCAGGTCAGAAGGTGGTTGTTGTCGATGACATTATCGCAACTGGTATGTACAGTTATAATCACATTCAAGTTTACCACGATAGACGCTGACGTTTTTAGGTGGCTCTGCCTGTGCGGCCGGAGAGCTCATCAAGAAGATGGGTGGTGACCTCTTGGGATTCATCTTCATCCTCGAGCTCGATTTCCTCCACGGGCGTGACAAGCTCCCTGGTCCTACCTACACTCTCCTTACTGGACAGGAAGAAAAGGCTTAATTCCACAATAATGACATACCCTTCCTTTATGTCTATCGTGGTGGAACATGATTGACAACATATCCCACTTGTGGTTGCGGCTCCTTATTCCATCCGATATCGCCAATCCTATAAAAAAAGAAAAGTTTTGTTTGAATACCCTACCTCTGGATTCCTTTGTCACGTTGCACGTTGCTGCACGTCATTGAGATCAAATCTCCGATTGGTCTGATGGCGTAGAGTGATGTTCCTCAATTACAAATGGGGCTGCATCCAACCGATGGATTATCAACAGCCAGACTTTGAATCAAGATTGGTGTGCAACAGTGGCCTATTGGATAGGTATCATCGTTTGTGGAATCGCCCGACCTCCTCCCACCAGTGCCTGGATGGTGGTTGAATACTGGATACCATAACCGACTCTTGTGGATGGGCCATCAATCTAGCCGGGGGGGGGTTTGAGGTGTGCATGGTTTACAGTTGCAGTCAATTTCCCCCAATCTGGTACATGTTATAGAATACTCACATACTATGAATAAATGATCATGCCTAGCCTTGATTCCCATAATGAATAATGTACTATCTTTGGTATATTCAATGTCCAAGAACTTGCTATCTATAAAATTATCTAGATCTTTGGAATATACTTCCACATAACTTCATCAGCCCAATCCTTTGGAAATCCCAACTCTTCTGCCTCCCGAATCGCGCGATTCATCCTCGGAACGTACTCCTCCCTGGGTAGTCCAACCTGCACCCTCTCTTCATCCACATACACCAAAACCGTCTGCTCAGACACATCCCCCCTTCGCCCCCTCTGCCCCTCATCCAGCCATTCCGTCACCGTAGCCGGCAAATACCACTTATTATAATCCCCCTCACCCTGCTCCGTCGGCCGAATACTCACAGGAACCTTACCACCACTCTTCGCCGGGCCCGCCTTATGGTCCACATCCTCATACCCATCAAGCAAAAGCTCATCCTCAGGCGCCATTTCGTATAAAACCCCATAGATAGCATCGTCATCTCCAGAGACAGGAACCTTCTCCCCATCCGTATCTTGTTTCCCGACTCGCAGGGACGCAGGCGGGATGACATTCGCATATCCCGCTTCACAGATTAACCAGCGCCATTGGTCTAGACGGGCGATTGCGACGGGGTTCGCGGAGAGGGCTGGGTTATATGTGCAGCGGATTTTCATCTGCGTGAAGGAGAGGTTGGAGCCGTAGGCGAAGTAGAGGGGTCGTGGGGTCGTGCTTGTGGTGTTGTCGTGGAGGTCGGATTTGATGGTGATTTCGGTAGGGGTGTTTTTCTCGTCTATGATGGTTGTTTTGGTGGTGGTGGTTGTTGGGCCCTCGGGGGAGGGGGTGATGGGTTCTTGAAGGTGCATTTCAGTTCATTTATTGCTGGGTATAGAATAATGAGGAAGAGAAAGAAAAAAATATATGAGGAGAGGTAGCTGGTAGATGTCAAGGTGCGGGGTTGTATGTACGGAGTAGATAACTGATATACACTCTGCCACCTACCTAGCAATTGATGCAAAAAGAAACACTCAACTTAAATCAAAAGAGGCAGGAATCATCTCTATATAAAAGGAATACGAATGATAAAGAGGGGCGAGTGGACATCTTCGTGGACAGTACCAAGGTAGGCAATTCGCCTTCGCCCCACTGGATGTCCCAAGGCTCAGCTATGGTGTGTACAACCCCAGACGGCTGGACCTCTAATTTCATAATCCATAATTTTCTATTATTGACTCACTCTATTTAATTGACTATCTAAATAATGACCATCTCATACAATGTACAAATTACTGATGGGAATACCCTGAGACCGTACAGTATACCGTCGTTTAATGCCTATCGCCTTCGCCTGCCGTAAAAGTTCGTACGTTTGCTCCCCACCACCCATCATGACCATGGGGATCGGGTGTCGCCGTGGACTGCCCCCAACAGTCACTTGAGATTCGTCCAAATAAGGCCGGACAAGAGAGGGTTCTGCGCGAACAGCGGCAAGCGGACGAGACTGGGAGGCAGCGGTTGATTCCGGATCTTCATCGGCGATATCATCATAGGAGACCACAATGACGAGCTTGAGGGCAGACCGCGATGGTGGATACGCTGCGATGTTTTTCAGTTTCTGGGAGAAACTGCACCCACCGCGTTTGATGACGAGTATCTGGTGGTTTTGCGCCACCTCGCGCAGGATGTTATAATCGCAGATTTCATCAGCAAAGTAGATCGTTGACCACGAGAGTCGGCTTTTGGATAAATCTCCTGAAAAAGATACCGTAGTTGCATCCTCAACACTCGGGATTGGGGCGGAGCCTAGACCCGAGGACATGGCAGCTGGTAAGGTCAAGCGTAGCGGCGTTTGGTTTTGCGATGATTCCATCTGAGCCTCGTCTCGAAGCAGAGAAGACAATGAATTCACCAACGAGGATAGGACGGCCCTCATGTTAGAAGGAGCAGTGTCTACACTTCCAGGCTTGTCGTCGACGGGGGCAGGTTTGTGGATGACTTGCTTTCTGCCATGCTCAGCAGCCGGTTCGCTACGATTATCCGAATCATTTCGGCGGCGAAGGAGCTCTGCTGGTAGAACGTCAATGACGATGTCAATCATGGCCGAGTCGCGCACCCGAGCGAAATTCGGGTCGGTGGGATCCAGGATATCAAGCGTGATTTCACGCGAGAGATATACCTTCTCATCTTTTCCAAGAGGCACATTGTTGATCACCTGCACGCGAAACCCATCATCATCCTCATCCTCTGCCGTGTTGTGCAGTGGGACATCCTGCACCATGCTCAACCGAAGTCCCCCAATGGTTTTGATGAGAATTCCATCCCGGACCCGTTCCAAAGACCCAGGCCCCATTACCATTCCGGGAAGGGAAGGGAAAGAGATGTCCAGAGTCGGACGGTTTGTCATTAGCGAGCTCGTTGCATTGAACGGTACCAATTCAGGTGGTAGGGTCCAAGGATAGAACGTGTAGTTAGTGGGGGATGCCAGATCTGAAATTGATGTACTGGGATGATCTTTGGCGTATTCCAAGATTGCGCCTTCGACCACTCCCCTATCGGGCATGAGGTGCAACCGAGCCAGACTCGCCGCATGGAAAACATCAGAACGTGCCGCAGTGTATGATACCCCAAGTGCTGGTGACGTGGGTGCCAATGGGCAGCTCAATTCACTGCTCTTGTTGTTGACTGGCCGCTGCTCCCTGCGCTGATGCGAGTGCGTAGTCGTATATTTGGGTATGATGAGCGGGTGACCCTCCGTGGAAAAGACAAAGGGTCGATCCAGGGTATTGAGCGGATGCGTTGGGTCATACATCAAAAACATGTATTTGAAGGTTTCTCCAAGGAAGAAACTCTCCATCCGGTCCTTCAGCTCCCCATTTCGAACATCCTCAAGCCCAGCCCAGCCGCACCTTGTCCAACACCTTCGCTTGATGTCTCGAAGTACCATTTCACCAACATGCAAATACCAGGGATCTCTTGTGACCCGATAGAGGTAGTACGCAGACTCGACAAATTCGGGACGGCCTGGATACCACGAAAGACCGCCCTCGATGTTACCTGTAGCCACATTCCATCTTTCTGGAAGCCCAGCGAATCTTGTCCAGACCGCCGTATAGAGCATATGAATCTCTATAGCCTCGTCCAGATCTCCCGTGAGAGTCAAGAGGCCAGGGTAAAAGGCGCTCAAGCTATCAATCCAGAAGGCTCGCGTGGCACCAGTGAAGACATCTCCTTGGATCACGTGTGGGTGTTGGTATCCTTCCCCTCGATATAAATGGCGTTTGATTGAAGCATGCGAGTATTCCCAAGCCTCCAAAAATGCGCCTGCGGAATGTTCAAACTCGCTCAATGGCAGGAAATAATCGTCCAGAGCCTGCCATGGACTCTTGGAATCATGGGGTGGACGTTCCCCCGAAGAAAGCAAAACGTATGATTTGAATGCATATTCAAAAAAGCTATCGATTCCTGCTCCAATCTGCAGTTACCCATTAGCCTGTGCTCTTGGATCTTGGGTTTCTTATCGTGACATACCCCAGTATACGGATGAACCCATCTCCCTGACTCTACATCAATGCCAGAGCCGATGAGTCCAATTTCACTTCTCCTCGCCCAAACTGCCCAAAATGCTCTCTTTGCTAATTCTTCGTACCGACCATCGCCAGTAAGTCTACTCAACACAGTAAACTCCAAGACAAGGCTACCCGCGCCTGCGCTGCAGCTTTCGGTAGTCTCTGTAGATAATCGGGGGTTTTTCTGGCATCGTTCGCCATCGGTACTGTTACACGTATCCGTCGCCGCATTCAGAGGTGAATTTGGGTAGAATGGATGTCGCTGGACGCCATGTCGTAGATTGACCCGAGGGTAGGGAAGACCAGTGTCCGTATAGAAGGCAGGTAGGATGCGGTTGGCCAAATCAACGGCAAGTCGGAGGAATTGTCCATCATATATGAACCCATCATCCCACTTGATACCGACTCTGTCTTTCGAAAAGAGCGACTTGTTCCATGCTCTTGCAAAGACAGCCTCTGTCTCTGGAGGCGCGTATCCTTTGATGGGAAGGTCACCCACAGCAAAAAGATGGGTACTGAGTAGTCCACCTGTACACAATCGTTAAGGCAAATTCTTTGGCCCTTCCAGCGACCACGAAAGATCGGGTATCATACCAAGTCCCCTGATGACCGTCTCGAAAACCTGGACCTTGCTGTCGATGTCGAATCCCCTCGCCCGTTCACCCTGACCAGCAGGGCCTTTCGATCCATCCCCGTATAACTTGACAAACTCCTTCACCCCGTTCTGAAAGTGCGACCATGCCCTGTCCCCGCCATCATCGCCTGATGATAAGATCGCAAGACTAGATAAACTGTCGATAAGCGTGAGGGAGTAATTCCCCAGGACGTCGTTGAGCTCGGCGTTTGCAATATCATCGCGGTCGCGAGTAAGTGGCTTGCAGGAGAGCGGACGCAATTCATCTTCAGGGAAGGCAAGTTTCATGTAGTTTTCGAATCCATGGTAGAACATATGCTCGGTCTCTTTCCTGCAACCATACCACTTGGTGTATTAGTTAGGTCGTCCACCCAAATCAATAGTAATGAAAGGTCATCTAGAAGATCAATGCATACCTGAGCTCCCTAACCTGCCCTGGCCGCATCCCATGGGCCAAGGGCCACCACTGCGACAGCAGTAGCAAGACCCAGGTCATCATCCATGCTGAACGGAAGTGGGACATCTGCGAGCTGGAACATCCCGAGCGCATTACCAGAGAAGGAAAACGGCTGGAAAAAGCTTAGGATGAATAGTCGTAAATATATCCAAGAAAGTCATCCAGCAGATAATCAATTTCACTGGATATCTTTCGAAGGGCGTTGTCGGTGGTAGCAAACTGCCGCACGTGAGATAACGAGCGGCCAGATATGTCGCCGGAGCTACTACTACGGAGTCTTATGGGCTTGCTTGATCGGTCATGCATCTTACCCATGTCATTTAAAGAAAATGTTTATATTGTCATTTACTTTCTTCAAATTTAACACTGATATACAGAGAACGCCACAACTGACAGAAAAAAAAAAAAAGGACTTATGTAGATCAATCAATCAATATCAATCAATATCAATCAATACTAGTATAAACAACTGGACTGGTTCCGTACGCCAGAACAACTCCCGCTCTGAATCATTCAATTGAGATAAACCGAGAAAAAAAGGACATAGGATATCTTTTTGAACAGAAAAGATGAGGAAATCAGGATATGTAGTGGGATGATTTATACATGGGCTAGCGGTGCCCCCGATCAACGACTCTACCTTGATCGGTAGTGGAATGTAATTATTCACATCAAGTTTATTTTTATTCATGTTGAGACGTGCGATTTGGGGCAAAGGACCGTGGTTGTGCATCAACCACGTAGTCAATCCCATCATCAGAAGTGTAGCTGGGAGGTCGTGGTAAAGTAGTCTTCCTGCTTAAACTTCTCTGGAAGGGGTTGCTCTTGTGAGAACTCATGCCATCTACACGCTGCCAGTAGAGCAAGTCAGGGTTCATTCTCTGCAATGGAAGTGATTAGCAACCAGGAATAATGTACGGTGCACCGAGTCAGCAGAATCTTATGTACTCACCACGCTGCTTCTCCAGAGACCATATGCTGGAGGCGGAGCCGTGACCTTCTCACGAATGATGCCATGGCTTTCTGCCGAGGCCTCTTCATCACCTGCAAGAACAACATGTATTGGACTAGTTGGTTGGGCATAACCAGCTGGTCCTGCCCTACTGGGAACACGATTTCTGAGGGCGGCATTGCGCCTCCGCATAGTAACCATAAAGAAACGGATAAGGGAGTGACAAAAGACTATGGCAAGAATCAAAATCATGAAAATTAAGAGAATGTGGAGCTCCTGGCCCAGCTTGGCATGTGAAAAAGTGAATGCAATGTCTGAGATAAGCTTTATTAGTACTGATGAATGTAAATTGAGCCTGTGGGGTAAACCTTACAGACGGAGAGGACAAGAATGAGAAAAAGCGTAGAGGTGATCAAGGTAAAGAGTTTCCTCCTGGCCTTTTTTTCCTTTAATAAGGCGGCGCACGATCTAGCCTGGCCATTTCTCCCCCGCGATCCCCTAACCCATACTCCGTCATGGCGTTCATATTGTGGTGACCTTGTTGATTCTTGTGGAGACGCAGAATCCGACGGCCCCTGATCACCCCAGCGGTTTTGTGTTGATATAGGTTGCAGGTCGATCGGAACGTAGCGTCCATTCGGTCTATATTGCGAAGGCTCGGGATCCGTACTAGATGACGCATGTCTCCTACCCGTAAGACGCTCTCGACGCTCGGCGCGATCCCCGAACATTCCCAGTCCAAAACGATTGTAAGATTCCCGTGATGCGGGTTGCTCCTCTAAGATGCGAGGGGTCATTTCCATTTGGGCATTTGTCGCTGCCCCATTACTAGTGTTGTTACGGAAAGGATTCAGCGATGGACGCTGAGTGGAGGCAGATGTGCTTGAATGCGACAGTGTTGGCTGAGATAGCGAGACCAAATCCATGTCGAATGGTGTTCATCAATCGAATAATGGCATCTGGGCGGCGGGTACACAGAGAGAAGGGCGTTGCACATCCACTGTCGAGTGGGCAGCTCTATTAATATAGATGGTCCAGGCTCTCCCAGGAAACAGACCCAATTCGGAGTATTTCGAAAGTGGCGTATGATAGCCCCTATCGCATGCGATTTGCAATTCACAAAGGAATATGCACAAATGCCTGAGATGGTGAGTTGTAGTGGCAACCTTCCTAATTACTGGAGCGAGAATAGATTTGTTAGAAAGCTCTATAATTATAAGGGAATGATATAAGATATGCATACTGTATGCAGAGTTGCTACCGATTCATCATTCGGCAGAGAATAAGCAGAGATCGACAGTCCACGCGATAGCAACATATGACGAGATTCGGATGCAGATAAAGGAGCCCAATAATAGGAATCGAATGAATGAATAGCAAAGCTGATGAAAGATGGTCGAAGAGAGCAGTCGAATTAGTTTGATAATGGAGGGGAAGAGTAGCGAGTGAAAAAAAAAAAAAAAAAACACAGAGAGAGCACCAGGCCCCAGCAGTGTTAAAATATGTTTAAGGATAAGAAAAAAAAAAAAAAAAAATACAAATAAAAAGATATTATGGTAATAATAGTCAGATAGACATGAGCCCAAGAACGCAAGCAGCAAAGGTAGAAAAGGACCGACAGGAGCTGAAGCAGAGGAGAACGGAGGAGAGGAGAAGCAGCACAGGCCAAGACCGAAAAGGGCCAAGAAGCCTGGCTGGGAACCGGTAGTTTGCGACTCCAAGCTGATAATAATTAGCCGTAAAAAGAAGAATAATAATAGTAGTACGGCGTGTACATTAGCTCTAGCGCGATAGACTACGACCTCCCTAAGGAGGCAGAGTACGTATCCATTTTGATGTTACAGAGTAAGCTTAGGGAGAAACCCCTGGATCGACCCACGGTCCAATGATGCGTTCGCTCGCTGCTCTCGTGGCCGTTTGCGCACATTGCCGTGGCATTATTATTGCCGCCCTGGTGTTGCCGCTTTGGGCACGGCCTCATATTAGTACTGTTTTCGGCTAGGAATACAGTTGTCTCCAGCCAGATAAACAATACCAGTTGGTCGATCGTTTTGATATTTCCGAATACAATCATTCTTGTCCTTTCTTTATTTGTTTTGCTCTGGACCAAATATTTTGGCTTGTCCATCCCTACGCAGCCGTACTGTGAGCCATACTTGTAGACGCATCGGGTTGATAATGACTTGATAAGCCCTGAAATTCGTAATATTTGGATACAATTATGGTAATATTGCTATGTGTAACCCCGGCCCTAAGAACTCATGGCCAGTGACCAGAAGAGCGCGAATTTTTTATATTGCAATGCAAAATATATGCAATGAACATTCCGTGGTATCGACGGCCGGCCACTATCATATGCTATGCCATCTGCGCATCACATTTTCATGAAGCAGTGATGCCGCGGTGGTCGCACCGTGTTCAGTTTCGCAGACGACTTGGGGTGAAGAGCCCCCCGTTTGCTTTGATATAAAGGCGAAGAAAGTCTTGTACGATATTCCAATGAGTCGCTGGGTCAACAAGCATGTAGAGTTCAGTTTCTTAGCCATGAGTATGATGATGTGGTCACTTCCCAAGTTCACCGAGCATGAGGTTTCGATCAGAGGAACCGGAAACAACTATTGTAGAATTAGCAAAGATAGCTCGAAACGCGAGGAAACGATAGGGTCAACAAGACTTACTAACTGGTTCATTGTTAGGCGAAAAGCGTACGTCATTGACCGTGCCCTTGTGGCCAGGAAGCTTGTACAAAAGCTTCCCGGTCTTGAAATCCCAGACGACGACACTCCGGTCACCGCTTCCTGTCGCAATCTTCCCACCTGTCGGATCCCAGCTTGCTCGGATGAGATTCTTCTCCAGTCCGATGGGAGCACCGTCATATGTTCTTATGTGTCGATTGGCAGGTGCAAATGGCCGGATGTCCCAGGTGCGCACTGTCGAGTCGTGAGAGTTGGATAGAAGCGATTGCGAGTCTGGCGATACCTGTAGCGAAGTAATAGTGTCTGTGTGTCCGACCATAGAGTACACCACGGATTTCTTCCGCAGGTCCCAGACGTGAATAGTATTGTCGATACCACCGCTATATATCTCATTTCCTGCCTCTGACAGAGCAACTGCGGTGATGGGCAGATCTGTTTCAAGGTATTCGAGGGCGTCCTTTTGCCGGGGGTCCCAAATTCCAATACAGCCGTCATCGCTCCCGCTGACCAAAAGTTCCTGCCCTCTTTTGCTGATATCGAGACAATTGACGATTTCCTCGTGACCGATATGACGACGTATTCTTTGCCCAGTTTCCAGATCCCAGCTTGCAAGCGTCATGTCGGCTGACGCGGAGAATATCGCTCGCGAGTCTCGAGACCATTGGAGGTCAAGAACTGCTCCTCGATGACCTGATAGCACGCCGTAGTTTTCGCATTGTCCATAGGTATTCCACAACACTGCGCGGTATCCAAAGTCAGAACAGCCCTAATGGCCGAGAGCGAATCTTGATATAATGTGACATACTAATTGAGCGGTCCATAGAGCCGGAGGCAATATGCTGCGCGGTAGGGTCGAATCGGACCGTGAAGATTTCACCGGAGTGACCTACCAATGTCTTGTCAGCTCGAAACTTCTCGTGTCATCGTCATCAAACTTACCTGTAAGTTCCATAATTGGGGCATCAAGCCCGCTGGTGCGGGGAACCTGTAACTGTGATCAGCCAAAAGAACTTTTTTGAAAAGCTCACGGGAGGTAGCTTGGGGGGGTCAGAGAGTAACATACTGCTTGCACAAGAGCTCCATTCTGAGAAGATGAGCCTTTCACAACAGCTGTACTGGCATTGAGATCGCCGTCCGACTTCTTTCGCTTCACGACGAGCTGACTCGTCGTCCCGAAAGCCATCTGGGCAGGGCGCTTCTCTCCCGACATGATCGCGATGGTCCTTGACTGGAGAGCTCAAAGCTGACAATAGATAACCGTGGAAAGAAAATTAAAATTGTTTAGATGAGAGGAGGTCGTTTAAACCAGCGGCTCAATTGGTATTGATCTATTCTGATGGACCCGAAAACATCGTCGCAGAGCAAGCCCGCCGGTGGAGTGGCTTCTGCGCGGACATGGATGTGCTCATAAGCGCTGGACGTCCGAAATACAGCCGCGCTAGCCGCAATATCACGCGCGCCGCATCCACCAGGAGAGCTCCGCCATGGCCCCCAGTCGATCCACTGACTCGGGCGGGGAGATATGTAAATTGTCAACACTCCAATTTCCAGGCCATCAATTCATCACGGGTTGTTTCATATTTTCATTTCATTTATCCATATCTCGCCACCAAACTACAAGATAAGGGAATCTTTTTCAAGCATTCCATACAAGCACTGAGCAGTCATGTCGTCCACAACCAAGGCTTCAAGAATCGGAGAAGAGTAAGTTGATACTTTGACTTTTAATGACTGTGCCGTTTTCACTGCTAACGGTTCCTTTTATACAGGCTTTGGAAGTCAGTAAGCTGAATGCGACCACGCGTTGCCTTGGGAATTGGTCGAATCCTCGGCGGGGGAATTGCGCCTTTTAACTAACCATGTCCGACTACTACAGAACGAGGGTTGACAAGGTAAATGCGGAGTTGGTGACCTTGACCTACGGAACAATCGTTGCGCAACTATGCCAGGACTATGATGGAAACTACCAGGAGGTGAACAAACAACTGGATAAAATGGGCTACAATATCGGGATGCGGCTTATTGAAGATTTTCTGGCACGGTCGAACGTGGGCCGCTGTGCTAATTTCCGGGAGACAGCCGATATGATCGCAAAGGTGTGTTATATATCCTGGCTTGAAAGATGTATATGTTAGGCTGGGACAGGGTGACTGAGAAGTATCATGAGCAGGTTGGTTTCAAGATCTTCCTCAACATTTCGCCTACCGTGACGAATTGGACGAGCGACAACAATCAATTTTCCCTCATCTTTGAAGAGAACCCGTTGGCAGACTTTGTCGAACTGCCCGATGATGGCAGGGCGCAGGATGAGCTTTGGTTTTCCAATATTCTATGTGGTGTTCTGCGAGGTTCACTCGAAATGGTAAGACTGTTTGAGTCGGGACAGCGGTCTGGGTCTTACCCAGTTGCGTTTGTGCATTGATTGATCACGAGCTCATCAAATGATTAGGTTCAAATGCAAATCGAAGCTCATTTTGTGAGTGATGTGCTGCGAGGCGACGATACAACGGAGATGCGGGTATCGCTTGTAAGATACATCGAAGATGAGATGCCACCTGAGGAAGAGTAAAGAATATGCATGGATTAGACAAATTGAGGCGTCTAGGTGTTTCAGGGTTCTATTAAGTCTAATGTTATTTTCTCCTGGTATTCTGATCCATACATCATATTCTGGTTGATACAGGGGTGATAGATAATTGATAGTGGATGAGTATATCAATTGTGATCTATCCAATTGAATTTAACTTTATTTGGCCAAGGTGATAGAATACCTAAGACATAGACTGTGAGATCGATCAAGATTGAGTTGACCGGAGGTTCATTCTAGCTTTTGGCCTGGAATGTTGCCATCGGACCATTAATGTTTTTGACGTGATAGACTATCCACATATAACAACCTGGGGTGGCAGATCTGATAGTCCGGAGGGGCGCCACGTGACACGCCATACCGCAACGGGAGTTGGCCTTCCAGGCCGTGCTGAGGAATACGCCGGGGTCAGATGCCGACCCCCTCGCCCTGTCACTCCGATCTCTACAACGGAGCTCTACACCTTAACTCGAGTTACGGAGTATCATACCATTTGCTTTCCCTTTTATTATTTAATTATTAAATTGGGACACTTTCCTTAAATTGTGGGAAATAAATCTGCGATTTGATCCCTCTAAAATATTCAAGCCAAAAAACACCTGCAATTGTGCAGGACTCCCATAAGTCAGGTGAATCTCTGCACGTAACTAGTACTCCGTACTACTTACTCTACCCTGCCACATCTTTTCTTTTCTTTTTCTCTTTCTCCCCCTAGTCTTTTATCAAACCCTGCTTGCGCCATCCGTTGAAACCCTGCGGCCATCCACCTTTCTTCTTCTTTCTTTCTTCTTCGCTTTTTATTCTTCATTCCTTGTATTCCGTGCATTGGCTGCTTCTCCATTGTGTTTTGCCGCCTCTTCTGCTGGTCTTTCCTGCATGCTCAGAAATACGCCCGCCCGCGCCATCTCCCAGCCTTCTCCGCCGGTCTTCCGTGCAGGTTAATCCGCGCCGAGCAAGCGACCTCCGGCCAGCGAAAAGAAGCAACCCGAAGCCGCCTTCTGACCCTCCCCAGGCGCGCTCGATTAATTCCTGTCCATCCTTCCTTTTCCTCTCCTCCCACCAGAACACCTCAGATCCACCGCTACACACCTTGTTCTGACCTTCGCCTCTCCTCCTCCTACCTATCTCTACCCTATC